GGGGGGGAGACAATATTTTTCCTAATCTGTTTGTTGATATTTTCCTAGTATCTTCTAAAGAAAACTCATTATCATTATTCTGGTTTTGGTGGTTTGCTAGTCAGTGACTATTTTGTTAGTGAACTGCTTCCAGTTTGTGTTGTCTTGGACTGTGGACCACACTTAAAAAAGAAATATATACATTACAGAAGAAGTCTGTAAATAGATACATAATTGCTGTCAGCGCCAAGAACTGTGATGCTAGTATTTACTGAGCTTTGGTTTCCTAACAGACGCTGTGCTGAATGCTTTACTTGGATGGTCTCACTAATCCCACACCACACTCTGTAGAGCTGGGAGTTAATGCTTTATCCTCACTTAGCAGGTGCAAGACGATGGCTCATAGAGAGGAGGAAACATTGTTCACAGCCGCACAAGTAAGAAAGGACGCTATTGGTCTTCATTCTAAGTGGGCCTGACTCCAGAATTTGGGCGCTGAATCACTCTGCTGTTACCTTAATGGCTTCCAATAGGGAATTTGCAGACTAGCAATGCCCTGTAATTCACTTGGCTACAGAAACTTCTGTCATTTCTTAAGTTCTAACAGTGTTGTGGGGAACAAGTAAAATATCTTTAGGACACTGGTTTTCAAACATACTTGCACTTTGCAATTATCTGGAAGTTAAAAAAAAAATAAAGCTGGTGGCTGGGTCCCAGCCTCAGATGTTCTGAGTTAAATGGTATGGAGTGTGGCCTGGACATTGCGATTTTTTAAAAAATCTCCCAGGTGATTCTAATGTGCAGCCAACTTTAAAACTGCTTCGGGGGCGCCTGGGTGGCTCAGTACAACTTCGGTTCAGGTCGTGATCTCAGTTTGTGGGTTTGAGCCCTGTGTCGGACGCTGTGCTGACAGCTTAGAGCCTGCAGCCTGCTTCGGATTCCGTGTCTCCCTCTCTCTCTGCCCCTCCCCCGCTCACGCTCTGTCTCTCTGTCTCCCAAAAATAAATAAGCATTAAAAATTTTTTTTAAATAAAAAAAAAGAACTCCTTGTGAACAATGCAAAGTTTTAAATTCTGAATTCCCATCCTTCTGTTAGTAAAAAAAAAAATAGTGGTTTTGTTACAAAAGTACTACGTATTTGCTTTAGAAACCATAGACAAACAAAAAATACAATTATGATTCTCTGTAATCCCCTCACTGAAAGATGACCAATACAGTATTTGTGGGGTTTTTTTCCCTGTGCATGTTTATGTGTTTAAAGTCTTAACTATAATGTTACTCTTCTATAGAACTTTATGTATTTAATGTCTCCTTTCATATGTGTTTATATGCTTTAGCAGACTGAGAAATTTTTGATTCTTATCCATAGGTAATAGTGTTGTTGGATTAATAGTAAGTAGGCCAATAACTCTCCAAATGGAGCAATATCTCTATTAATGGAGAGTTTGTATATTATTTGAGGTAGCACTTAGGAAACGGATTTAGATGGCTCTCCTATGTGTTCATCTTATACAGCACTTTTTCAGACAAGCAAACCTTGGTTTACCTCCTTATCTCTTTTCTGGACTGTTAAGGCAAAGCCCATATGGTTTGTACCCCTGGGTTCTGGGCCTTGGGCTCTGGGCTCTAGTCTTCTAGACTTCCTGGCCTACGTCCTCCCCCTCAGGCTCAGAGAATCCTCCCTAGGAATAGCCCCCTCCCACACCTCTGTCTTTCCACCTTCCCACACTGCTCACCTATCATAATAAAAACGCTGAGTTCAATATACTTTCAGAGTGAGAAGCAAATAATTTTCAGAGTTTGCTGCTTCTCAAATAATTTTCCTAATAAAGATTTGGATGAGAAACCACTGTAGTGTAAGGGAGTTTAGTTAGGATACAACCAGAGCCTGTCAGCTAACAATTATGATTATCCTATTCTTTCCTACAAAGGTGGAATATGAGGAAGAATTCAAATAAAAGGTGGGGAGAGAACTCAGAGCTTTGGTGGGCTGGTGAGGGTTTACCCCAGAGGAGAAAGGGTCAATCTGGGAGACTTTATGGGTTTGGTTGGTAAACCAGCCTTGTCTTCAGTTAGGCCCAGACTACTCCAGGCTTTTGGAGGAAGCATTTTTAATACGGTAGCCACAAAACCAGACATCTCTGCATCATGATTTACAAAAGATTTTCTTTTTCATACATATTTCTTATAACTATAATCAGTGGATTTGTTAATCACCCTTGATCACAAGGCCTATAAATCAAAATTGTTTATAGTTATTTCTGGCTCTTAAAAACTTAACATTTATTTTAAGAATGTGTTATGATCTTTTTTCTAAGCGTTTATTTATTTTTGAGAGAGAGCAAGCATGTACACATGAGCAGGGGAGGGGCAGAGAAAGAGGGAGACAGGATCCAAAGCAGGCTCTGTGCTGACAGCAGACAGCCTGATGCAGGGCTCGAACTCACCAAGTGTGAGGTCACCTCCTGAGCCAAAGTCAGACGCTTAACTGACTGAGCCACCCAGGTGCCCCAAGAATGTGCTATGATGTTTACTTGCTTATTATTGACCACTTTTAAACAAATTTATGTTAAAAGGAGGAAGCTGCAAAATTATACATTTACTTCATTGGCATATCGGTGTGATATACATTGCTGAAATTTTTTTAGGATTGAGCCATTTATGTAGTTCCAAAAGCTATAAGAAAAATTAGAAGCTGTTTCCCTATTCTTTTTCTCCCCTTTTTGTTGAATTCACGATGACTTATGATGAATATAAAGGCATTAAAGATAGTTAAAACCACCAGATATACTGCTTTCCTTCAAATTCAACAACGACAAAACAAAATCAAAGAATAAAATAACAAGCCTGGTTTATTTATCTGAATGATATTTGTCTGACTACAAGATCATAATGAAAGAGAGGGAATCCTTAGAGTTCATCCTATAGTGTAGTAACTAACTAACTAACTAAATACATAAATAAATAAAAATAAATGATAGAGGTAAATACTTATTCAGGTAAATGTCAGATTTGTTGAGTCAGTCCAGTGTAAGTGGGAGATTTCTGGAGTACCATGCCAGTCCTCAGAGCCAGGAGAGTATTATGATATAATGGTATCTCTTCTGCTGCATTGGATGAGCTGTCCTAGAAAAACATTTTGAAGCAATAAAGCATCCATTTAGCTCCTGAGTAATGAGGGAGTCAGTGCTCTTTCATTAACTATTTATTCAGGAAAAGAAGTGACCAACTGCTGAAAAGCTTTATCCAAAGAGGGTAGTGGAAAACAGAAGAAAATGCAGAAGTGAGGTTCTGTTCAGTTTCATATGCAATTAACAAATACCCAAAGCTGAACGGTTGATGCTTCTCCTCCATGTGACTTCTGGCTGACTGTATTTAAGTGTGAGTGCCTGTCAGATGTATGAAAGGGCCCCTTGGCTTAAGGAAGGATTGTGCCGTCTACACTAAAGACCAAAGAAAGGAAGCAGTGAGCGGTGAGTAGCTAAGATTGGGCTGGTGTCTACAGTTTTAAATAACGGACTTATTTCCTATGATGAACAGTACTGATTTGAGGCACGCTGGTTTACTCCTGTTGGGAATCGTTCCTTTTATTTTTAGATGATTATTCCTTTTTCATGACTTCAGAAATCTGTGCTATAATGAAGTATGTAGATTATCACTCGATCAAACGGCTTCTAACTTAAGAAGTTATTTGCTATATAAATATATAACTTATTATTTGGAAATAGTTTCTAGGTGTGTGTGTAAATTTTGCTCTTCTTCCACAAGTATATAAGTAGTCCCTTCTTTGCAGTGAGTGCTTAGGACTTAGCAACTTCAAGATTACAAACAGAATATTGTATTCACACATAAATAGGGCTAATTTCAAGCCATTTCAGAATCTCACTTTGGAGCACTTTTGATGCTATAACAGCACAAAGCCTTCATTTCATTTGCTGTAAGACTCTTGGTCTGTGTTCTTTAGTGACATGAAAAAATATAAGAGTCACAATTATTTTCTTCCCTTAAAGCCAACCGAAGGGTTTTTATGTTAATTCTTCCCTCCCTGGCTCTCGCTAAAAAGTAGTATAGTTGTTCTTCTATACAACGAAGAAACAATCCTTCATATAAATCATATTAAAATAGACAGTGGAAATGGTATGTAAATCCCACATTATTTAATAACAGAATATTGTTGATATTGTCAAAAACCAATTATGAATCATTCCATGTTGCATTCCTCTGGTTTTCAATTTTTTTTTATTTCCATACCAAAAACTATGTACTAATTTGAAGCTTACCATGAATTATTTCGAAGCATACTTAAAATCACTTTTCAAGATACCTTCCATGAAGTAAGAATACATTGTTGATTTGGATTCACAGCCTTTGGTAATGGACTAAAAAAGTCTAAATAGCAGTGAGCTTAAAGACAAGAAATTCCTCCTTAGAACTAAGTTTTCTTTCCTAGACCCCATTGTATCATACTCAGAGAAAGAAAATTATTTACGTTACAGAGACTCTCACTTGCTTCATCAAGGAAATGAGGACTCTGAGTTTAGAAATACAATTTCCTCGCGCGATTGCTAAGTTTTGCAGTAATCTGTCCTTTCGGTGATTAACAATCATTAGATTGAATTCCCCTTTCAGATAATCACTCCCTTCAGAAGACTAATGCTGTGCGCTGAGAACAGGAAGGAAATGGAGGATTGGATGAGCTCACTGAAGTCTGTCCAGACCAGAGAGCCTTACGAGGTAAAGTGGCTTCTCTTCTGGCGCCTCATGTTCTTAGAAAACCAATGTTATCTGAAGAACTAAAGCTATATTCCACAAAGCAAAGTATGTGTAGATTCATTAAGTAACTTGCTTAAATCTGATATTGACATTTCTTCCTTTTTTTCTTTTTTCTTTTTTTTTTTTTTTACTTAAAGGAGAGTGTTCTTGTTGTAAAAATTACGGATTTGAAACTTTAATCATAACTCATGCATTCCAAATGTTAACTCGCTCTCGTCTCCTTCTCTTGTTTGCCAAACCTGTGTCTCGTTTCTAGGTGGCCCAGTTTAACGTGGAACATTTCTCAGGGATGCATAACTGGTACGCTTGCTCCCATGCCCGACCCACTTTCTGTAACGTGTGCAGAGAGAGTCTTTCTGGAGTCACCTCCCACGGCCTGTCTTGCGAAGGTACTGTAGCGCCCAGCCTGTGTTCTCCCTCAGCACTGACCACTGTGGCACGATGCTGCCACATCTTGTGGGTACTTCTGTGCCGCGAACAGAGAAACATCACCCCAGGGAAACGTTTCCCTCGGGTGGGAGCTGCATCTGGGAGCACCTCAGTGGGAACACAGTGTTTAAGTTTCACTGCAGCTTAAAGTGGAGCTCAGAGCACACAGGACTGATGGGGAAATATTTTACCGAGAGAAAGATGATACGAATCATTAGGAAGGAAGTAGAAATCAAAATGTAGCATTTCGCTCCCGAGGAACTAGCAGGTGCTCCACAGAACATCTCTAGACTTTGTCTATCATGCTGGTTTTCTAGAATTCTTTTTCTGTTCTGAATTGATTGCGGAGAACAAAACTTTCAGCGAGGACAGCACATACGCTGACAGAATTTCTATTGTTTGTTATTTCTATTGTTATTTCTATTTCATTATTTTTTTAACTTTTTAAAATGTTTTTTTATTATTTTTGAGAGAGAGAGAGACAGACAGACAGAATGCGAGGGGGAGGGGCAGAGAGGGAGACACAGAATCCAAAACAGGTTCCAGGCTTTGAGCTGTCAGCACAGAGCCCGATGAGGGGCTCGAACCCACGAACCTTGAGATCATGACCTGAGCCAAAGTCGGATGCTTAACCTACTGAGCCACCCAGGCGCCCCTCTATTTCGTTATTTTAAATGTTTTCTTTTATTTCATTTTATGTTTCATTTACATGGAGGCCATCCTTTTCTAAAAATAAGGCCAATGCTGTAGTTTTCGTATTAGGATTTGTGCATTTCTTAATTAAAAAGCAGTGACCAATAGAAGCAAATATACTAATAATTACCAAAAGAAAACTCATAACTTCTTTAGATTTATTTAATTCCGTACCTCAGTGAGCACACTTTACTTTCTGAACTATATCTAATATTAATACTGGCATTTTTTTTCTCTAATACAGAAACGTCTTAATTTTGAATAGCTTTTTATTCTTGAATAATAAAATAGTAATAGAGTCACAGTTTTTGTTCATTTTAAGGTATAAAATCTGAGATACGTCATAGTTCCAGCTATTTAATATGAGACAGCACAGAGGTTGAGAATAGAGTTCCTCAGTTTTACCCTCAGGGTTCTGGTTCCGCTCCCAGCATTGCAAACGGTGACCAGGAGAAATAGTTCCACTGGTTTTGACTTTCATTTCCTCATCTGTAAAACGGAGATAATAGTCATTTATACTATGTAGAGATACTATGAAAATTAAGTGAGAGAATATAAATAGGAAAGCTACTTTTCTAGTCAAGTAACTTGGGGAAGTTAGTAGCTGTGCTGTGTAAGAAATCCATCCGGTAAATAATTGAAGATTGCATCATGGCCTGATTGATGCATGAAAATGCATGAAAACAAACACTTGGAAGAGCCATTACACGTGTTTTTTTTTTTTTTTGTTTTTGTTTTGTGTTTTTTAGATTTAAACAATGATTGCAAATCAGGTGTAATTACTCTTTATGACTTTAGTAATCTGAAAGGGTTCCTAGCTCTGAGTCTACTCTTACCCGGTCTGTAATACTCAGAGGTGTTCTTTCGAAGGTCCCCTTAGTGTTGCCTCCTAACCTCTTACTCCAAAAAAAAAAAAAAAAAAGCTAAAAAAAGATATCAGATCTGAGATACTCTGTGGTACTCTTCCGATTTGAGAATTAGGCATTATTAAATATATTTGTTTGTGAATTGAGTTTAAGCTGGGATGACTAAGTCGTTTCTAAAGATTTTAAAGGAAAAATGAAAATTACATTAGCTGATGAGAATAAGAAACTTAAAAGTCTTTAAATAAGTTTGTTATGTTATTCTGTTAATAATGAAGTCTTCCTGACTTCTTTATGGTTCTTTATTGTATTTTTAAATAATAGTTTTAGAAGAATGTCTGTTAGTACTCATTTTCTCTGCTAATAAAAATTTTATTTTATTTTTTTTTAATGTTTATTTACTTTTGAAAGAGAGAGAGAGAGAGGGAGAGGGAGAGCCTGAGCAGGAGAAGGACAGAGAGAGAGAGGGAGACACAGAATCCGAAGCAGGCTCCAGGCTCTGAGCTGTCAACACGGAGCCCAGTGTGGAGCTTGAACTCATGAACTGTGAGATCATGATCTGAGCTGAAGTCAGACACTTAACCGACAGAGCCACCCAGGAGCACCCCTCTGCTGATAAAAATTTTAAACCTGTGGCATCCTACCTTGGTATTGTTAGAAATACACCAGAAGGCTTTAAAAATCCCAAGGGTTTTATGAATGTGTAAAGAAGTTACCTTTTTATTTTATGAGAATGTGGTTATTTAGCATAATTTTCTTGTAATCCAAGTTATACTTAAACTTTAGAAACTACCTCCAAATCTGAATAAACTGCTTGCTTGATAAAACAAAAGGCATAGGATACAAGAAGCTTTAAAAGACATAACAAAGATGTAAACACACACAAAAAATTTCATTCAACTGTGACAATGAATAACTTTGTATTGGAATGGAAATCAGTTTCCAGTGTGTAAAACCATCACTAAATTTACTTAATGTGTTTCACAGTAAAACAAGCTGTAATGATTTGTCTTCTGGGTTTGTGTTGAATAACTACTAAAATTGTTATTTTAAAGCCTTGCATACATGAAATATATGAATGAAAAATAGAAGATAGAATACTTTTTGTAAATAATTCCCTAAATCAATTGAGAATGTTAATTATAATTTCAAAGCGTAATTGTTCTTCACAATTATTTAAACAGTAATTGAAGAAAAAAAAGTTAAATGGTGATTTTTTTCTCTTTTAATCAATAACATCAAATATGTTAACATGGGACTCTATGAATTTTTATCATAGCCAGTGTTGAACACTTAGAAAGATTCAGTGTGGTAGACTGGAAATTGCAGATAAAAAATCATAATTTTGTTACTTGTCAGTATATATTTTTAAGTTCTGTGGTTTTGAGATAATGGCTTTATAGGTCAGGGAAAAGTGATTTATTTCACAATAACTTATTTGGAGAAATCTAATTGTCGCCTAACAAAATTAAAGTGTTTATTAATAATTTCCATTCCTCAGTGACCATAATCACAGTCTGGTTTATTTTTTTATTATTATATGCTATATTAAGCAACTTTGCAATTTTCAAGACTCTTTGCATGAAGCACTTTATTATTACAAGTGTAATTTTTGTTTTTACTGAGCTGTTTGATTTTTAATGGCAAAATTTTTAAAAAGCTGTGAAATTATTCCCTGTTGCTCTCTTTTACTTCCTTCTCTGTAAAAAACAATTATTGACTATTAATACCAAATACTTACTTGTACTTAAAAAGCAAGCCTGGGGATTATGTTGCAAATAAAACTAAAACTAGGACCACATTTTTAAGAAACACCATAACAGATGAAAAGACCTAGGGATGCTAATTAACCTCAATTTTAAAATAGAACATGAGACCGAAAGGGAGCAGGTCATGCTAAAACTGTTTTTCAAACTAAGCTTATACTTCCTAAACTTCCTATAGTATAAGCTTATACTTCCTGTTTCTTTACACTACTGTTTATCGGCAATGAGATTCCATTAAAAAATTAGTTATCCTATATAAATCTGTTCTTGAGTCACAGAATCATTTAGAACAAAAGCTGTATGATTTCCAGGAAAGCATTTGTCAAGGTGCACAAAAGAGCAGATAAATGAAACTAATGTAGACTAATATTTCTCAAAAAAAAAAACCCAAAAACAGTTCAGCTTAAGTGACCTTTTACCTATTGGCTATCCATGACATCTGAAGCATTTTGAACATTATTTTACCTGACCCTCTCATTTGCATGCCACATTAAATTAGGACTGTCTTAAACCAGTGGCATATAACCCATCATTTTAAATTTGTTAGCAGTTTACAGTTAGACATTAAAAAATCATGTGAAAAGGAGTCACCTTACATGTAGCATTTAGCAGCAGTTACCTTTGTTATTTCCACTAAAGTGATCTCAAACTTTTAATTATATTCTTTAGAATAAAACTTAGTACAATAAAAAAATATATTCTGAAAAGTCAGAAACAGGTGTAACGTCAGTATCCACTAATGCTTGGATAATTGGTGTCCTTAAAAGGATAAATCAGTTTAGTAGTACTCAAGTACTGATTTTCATAAGTAAGGGTTAATTTCTCAAATAATCTGTGGTTTACTTGTTTTTCATATATGAGCTGCTTCTTTCCTGGTTGTTTCCTTTTATTTCTCTCTTGTTTTTTTTTCTATTTGGTATTTGTATACATTGTAAAATGATTACCCAAATGGAACATGTCACCATCTGTAGTTATGGAATTTTTTCCTTATGATGAGAACTTTTAAGATTTACTCTCATAGCAACTTTCAAATATTCAATTCATTATATTAACTATACTCACCATTCTGTACATTACATCCCCGTGACTTAGTTATTTTAGTGGGTACTTTTGACTCCCTTCACCCATTTGGCCCAATTCCACGCCCCCACCTCTGGTAACCACCAATGTGTTTTCTGTTTCTATGAGCTTGGTTTTTTTGTGGGTTTGTTGTTGTTGTTTTTACAGTCTACCTAAAAGTCAGATCATAAGGTATCTGTCTTTCTCTCTTTGACTTCTTTCAAGTTAGCATAATATCCTCTAGGTCCATCCGTGTTGTCTCAATAGGCAAGATTGCATTTTTTTATATGGCTGAATGAATAATAGTCCATTGTGTAAATACATATACAGATACCACAATTTCTGTATCCATTTGTCTATTGATGGACACTTAAGTTGTTTCTGTACCTTGCCTGTTACGAATAATGCTATAATGAACACGAAGGTGCAGATGTCTTTTCAAGTTGGTGATTTCATTTTCTTCAGATAAATACCCAGAAATGGGATTGCTGGATTGTATTATAGTTCTATTTTTAATTTCTCGAGGAAACTCCATACTGTTTACTATAGTGGCTGCACCAATTTGCATTGCCACCAACAGTCCACAAGAGTTCCCTTTTGTTCAAATTCTTGCCGACACTAGTAATTTCTTACCTTTTTTATAATAGCCATCCTAACAGGTGTGAGGTGATATCTCATTGTGGTTTTGTATTTGCATTTCCCCTGATGACTAGTGATATTGAGTATCTTTTCATTTCTCTGTTGGCCGTCAGTATGTCTTATTTACAAAAATGTCTGTTCAGATCCACTTCCCATTTTTTAAGTGGACTGCTTGGTTTTTGCTATTGACTTGTGTGAGTTCTTTGTATATTAATGTATATAAATGTTAACCCCTTATTGGATATATGATTTGTAAATATTTTCTCCCATTCAGTATGTTGCCTTTCCATATTATTGATGGCTTCCTTGGCTGTGTAGAAACTTTTTAGTTTGATATAGTCCTGCTTATGTATTTTTGCTTTGTTGCCTGTGCTTTTGGTGTTAGACCCAAAAAATCATCGCAAAGACTGATGTCAAAGAGCTAAAGTCCAGGAATTTTCTTCTATGAGTTTTATGGTTTTCAGTATTACATTCAAGTCTTTAATCCCTTTTAGTTAACTTTTATGTACAGTTCAGTCCAGTTTTCATGAAAGTGGTCCAGTTTCATTCTTTTGCATATGGCTGTCCAGTTTCCCCAGCAACATTTATTAAAGACATCATTCTTTCTCCACTGTGTATTCATGGTCTCTGTGTCATGAATTAGTTGGCCATATATGTGTGGATTTATTTCTGGGTTCTCTATTCTGTTCCATTGACCTATGTGTCTGTTTTTACGCCAGTACCATACTACTCTGCTTACTATAGCTTTGTAACATAGTTTCAAATCAGGATCATGATGCCTTCCACTTTGTTCCTTCTGAAGATTGCTTTGGCTATTTGGAGTCTTTTGTGGTTCCATAAAAATTTTAGAATTATTTGTTTTAGTTCTTTGAAAAATGCCATTGGAATTTTGACAGGGATTGCATTGAATCTGTATATTGCTTTCAGTCCTATGGACATTTTTACATTATTAATTCTTCCAGTCCATTAGCATGGAATATTTTCCCCAGTTTATTTGTGTCTTCAGTTTCTTTCATCAATGTCTTGTAGGTTTCAGTGTCTCTTATGTCTCTTTTATAGGCTCCTTTTTGATATTATTGCTGAGCCAATTAGTGATGCATGTAGCGTATTTCTTCATCACTACTTTAGTCTACATCATAATGTAGTAATCCCAACAATAATGCTTTTAAAAGACAGTGCCATCTTTGTGACCCTTATCAACCTATTGCCCATGATGACTGGGTATTTTCTCAACATACTTGCAATTTAAAACTCCTCTGAATTATCCTGTTCTTTATCTTACTGATATTTTCAAATCTTTCATTTTAAATTTATTATATGGACAGAAAAATACAAATATCAGAGGAGTACAGCACATAGGATTTTTCACAAATGAAACACATTTATGTAACCAACATCCAGATTAAGAAATAGGATGTTACCAGCACCTCTGTATTACTAAATTTTGTTTAGTTCTATGTTTGTGTGCGTATGTGACTGTTGTCTCCTTTCTCCTAAAGAACTAATTCTTTTGTATTCATTTCCTTTATGTTTTATTTATGAACAAGTAGAACCTCTCTAAGTAGCAATCTATAGATTGAAAAAGAGCTTTATACATACATAGCCATATGTATCATAAATACATGAATACCTTCTGGAAAGGTATTTTCAGAATACCTTTATTATTGTTGAAGAGTAATTTAAGATTTTAAATTATTGTTTTTCTTCTACCCCCTCCTTTTTAATTTCATGCTATGATTTCCTTTAATCATTATTCCAGAAGTATATATTCATTTAGAAATGGTTGACTTTTTTTTTTAGTGTGTAAATTCAAGGCTCACAAAAGATGTGCAGTGAGGGCAACAAATAATTGCAAATGGACGACTCTGGCCTCCATTGGGAAGGACATCATAGAGGACGAAGACGGAGTAAGCCCAGTTCTGTCTCTGGTCTCTTCCCAGTACCTCCTCTCTTTATTGTCTGCCCTGTGAAAAATGACAGAGTTAGTGGGAATATTTACTAGCAGGATGAAATGGAAGGTTTTGGTTAATTATGAGTTTCTATTTCCAGTTAGATCCTTCATAGTTGCCTTCAGCTCTTAAATTTTGAGGGAAATGTGAATAGAGCTTACAAGTGGCTGCTGTGCTGGGCTGGTGTTGTAGACCCCGACCTGACAAGTAAGATACTCTTTAAGGCTTAGCTCAGGTGTTAATTCAGATGTTCACTCCTCAGATGTTGGGGCCTCCTTTCAACAGTGACCCCCACCTTCAAAACCTTGTCTCCATTGCACCTTGCATTCAAATCTCTGATAGCACTTTGTAATCACTTTATGATAATGCCTTTACATTCATTGCTCCTCAGCTAGACTACAAATCCTGAAGGTCAGGGCTTTAGTCTTAATTATTTTTGTATCGCTACAGTGCTCTGGGCACAATAGATGTCAATAAATGTGGGCTAAATGAATGGATGCCATGAGTGGTACATATATTGATTCCACTGAGTAAGAAATATTTTAGATCTTCCCTAGGGTGAGAATGACGTCCTCCAGTCTTTAATTTGACTGCTCTTCACTCCTGCTGCACAGGTAGCTATGCCTCACCAATGGCTAGAGGGTAACTTGCCCGTGAGTGCCAAATGTGCTGTCTGTGACAAAACATGCGGGAGTGTTCTGCGTCTACAAGATTGGAAATGCCTTTGGTGTAAGACAATGGTGAGAGCCCTTTTTAATTCGTTCTTTTCATAGTTTTTTTAACCTATGTGATTTAGGGGAAAGGAACGTATGGTATAATAAAGCCTGGTAGCATACCTGCCCATTGTAATGTTCATCTTTTTCAAAGTATTCCTTCCAGTCTGGTTACTTTTTAAATATCCTTCTTGCAATACTGTTGTTTTATATTTCCCTTGTCAAGACCTCTTTCCCACAGTTTTGTTGGGATATATCTATGTTATATAGATAAATATTATTATATAATATTTATATATTATGTATTGTATATATTATTTATGTATCTACATAGTATATATATATTTATATATTACAAAGTTTTCTTGCATGTGTAAGGAAGCAGTGAGAAGTACGCACAGCATAACATGGAATCAACAGCAAGGAATGGTTCTGTCCATGCCATACTATGTGAGTGCTGGGCTCTAGACTTCACGAGGGCAGTCAGAGCAGGAACTTACAGGGTGAACGCAGGCCACTCAGAGGGTGGCGTGGAGGGTGAGGAGGCAACCGCTGTGGGTGCTCATGTTAGCACTGGGCGATGCTGTCCAACTATGACAGTGATTGCCTTGCATTGGGCTGATTTTTTTGGTCTTGTTTTGAGTCTTGGAAGTCACTCCCCAGGCCCCCCCAAAATATGGAAAACTCATTTCTTTTAATAAGTATGATGTAGATCATCAAATGAAAAAGATGTGACTATGATGCGTTGATTTCACAATGAGTGAGATTCATCCCATAGGCCATAAAGAAGATAAGTCCTGTATAGCTTTTTCGTCAAACCTGATAGGTAATCTGTTTCCTTTTCATTTTATTTTTTAAAAAACTTTTTAATGTTTATTTATTTTTGAGAGAGAGAGAGAGGGAGAGAGCATGAGCAGGGTAGGGGCAGGGAGAAAGGGAGACACAGAATCCAAAGCAGGCTCCCATGGACCACAAGATCATGACCTGTACCAAAGTCAGATGCTTAACCAACTGAAACACCTAGGGACCCCTGTTTCCTTTTTATTTATAAATCAAAGTGATTCTCTCTATCCTTATGCTTTTGTTATTCTTCATCAATTGCCCCTTTTATTAGCCACAGGTGTTACTTCTAATTTCTCTTATCCCATGTAATATATAAACCGTATTAGACATGTCTCTTTGCAGTTTTGGTGCAACCATATCCCCTAAAACACTCTTGTGGAATTCCTTATTTTATTTATCTTTTTTAAATTCTTTTTTTAAGTAATCTCTACACCCAGTGTAGGACTTGAACTCACAACCCCGAGATCATGAGTCACATGCTTTCCCAACTGAACCAGCCAGGCACATTCCTTATTTTAAAAGAGTACTCTTGGCCCCTGGGTGGCTCAGTCAGTTAAGCATCCGACTTCAGCTCCGGTCGTGATCTTGCAGTTTGTGGCTTCAAGCCCCACATCAGGCTCTGTGCCGACAGCTCAGAGCCTGGAGCCTGCTTCAGATTCTGGGTCTCCCTCCTCTGATCACTCTCTGTCTCTCAAAAATGAATAAACGTTAAAGAAATTTTTTTTTTTAATAATATAAAGAGTGCTCTCCAAAGGCCTGTAAGATAATGTTACAAACAAATAAGTAAAGTTCTCTCATAAATAAGATTTTAAACTTTATCCCACCTAAGACTTCCTTTTCAGGGTGCAACCACTGATGTATGCTTCTACTGCTATTTTCATTAGTCTGTATATCTATTTCTCTATTTCTAGAACTTCAGCTGTTTCTTTCTAACTTGTTGAAAAGAAAGCAGATATTGTGTGTGACAAATTATTTTAGAAAGGTTTTATGAAAGTTGTCTTTACCTACAATATATAGGACTCTACTTGTATTGGTCCAGTCATTTTTAAACTTTGTTAATTTTAACAGTGGGAGTTGATTAGATATTTTACTTTCTCACCCTACTCACCCCTACCTTTAAAACTTTTCACAAACAGGATAGAAGGATTTTTGCAGGATGTAGAAGCGGGTATTCTAGAATGTCTTCGCCCTTTTTTTTTCTGGCAAACCTAGATATCACCTTATCTTGAAGTCACTCCTGACCTGTACTGCGTCCACTAGACACACAGGTTTCTGGACCACCATCACCTTGTTACATCCTTCTCGGTCTTGTACTTCCTATACACGATCTTCCTGTATACGTCTTTGCATATTATTTTGCCTTTAAAATAATGTTTCCCACAGAGTGTCTAATTTGTAAAACAGTCATCTACTTTAAAACAAAACAAAGTAAGACCATAGTCTTTACTATGGTATTCACACAACTGTGGTCTTACACAACTCTACTGAGTCAACTGCTAATTTTTTCGGTTGTCATCCAGTCTTTGGACATAGTTTTACCTTTCCTGTAAAAAGAGGGAAGGGGGGAGCCTGAGGGGCCCAGGTGGTTGAATGACTGACTCTTGGTTTCAGCTCAGGTCATGACCCCAGGGTTGTGGGATCAAGCCCCTGCATGGGGCTCCACGTTGACATGGAGCCTGCTTAGGATTCTCTCTTTCTCTCCCTCTGCCCCATTTCCCCACTAACACTCCCTCTTTCTCTTTAAAATTAAAAAAAAAAAAAAAGTGAAGATACAATTTTGTCCTCTGCTTTTTTCATTTAACTTTGCTGTAAATATTTTTCTGTTTTGCTCTATGTGTCATGACCTTAGCCTAAATCGAGTCGGTTGCTTAACTGACTGAGCCGCCCAGGTTCCCCAGTGCTTAACACTGAGCCGCCCAGGTTCCCCATTAAAATCTTTTTAAAACTATCTGTGCATGCTTGTTTTTTCTGAAATCCATTTGGGGATGTTAATTATTATAAATAATAATAAGGAACTGTCCAAAATTAGGTCATCAGTAGAATAAGAATCAGTATTTAATTTTAGTTATTTTCTCAAAAGTTTTGATAAGTATGTGTTTAATTAACATGCCAATTTTCTAAAAAGACTAATGAAATAAAGCTGTATTAAGTAAATGCTTTATGAAGTGTCTACTTTTACTGCTTAAAACATTTTAAGTCTCTCTGAGTAGGTACCTAAAGTATTGTAAATTCCCTGGGTTCTACTTAATAAGTTAGCCCTGCTCTTGTTCGAAATAATATATTGACTACCCTTGAATCTTTGTTTTTACAGAATTCACATGTTTACTGGGTGTCTATGATATTTATCACTTTCCAAGATAACTGTATAATGATAGGACCTTTTCCTTTTCTCTATGGAGCCCATAGGCACAGATGTACTTATACCTATAAGAACATGAAAATGTTATTTTTAAAAAAAGATGTGAATAGAAAGTTATAGGACCACTGCAGAAAGAGGAGACACATTAAAAATTTCACGGATTTTCATGAAATTCCGTAAGAATGTTATAAGGTAGAGCCCATCATCTTTTTTATGGACGATGATATTGACAAGTACTAGTTAGCTTGCCTCCTTCCTCTCTCTCTCCCTTCCTCTGCACTCTGTTCCCTTCTCTTCTTCTCTCCTTGCCTTCACCAGGCATTTCCTTTTTTAAATTTTTATTTATTTTTGTGTTTTAAGTAATATCTCCACCCAGTGTGGGGCTCGAACTTACAACCCCAAGATCATGAGTCACGTTCTCTACTGACTGAACCAGCCAGGCATCCCTCACCAGGCATTTCTCGATATACACTACTTGCCCGAGGCCACCATAAAAGTAGGCTGCACAGAGTACGTCAGATTCCCATCTCTAAAATAATTAGCTCATTCCTTAGAGTTATAAACATTATACCATGAAAGTAATTTATGAGTTACTGAATATTTTGTGATATAGTCGATCTTCAGTTATTAGTCCCATAGATGTAATCTATACCATAAGAAAATATCGATGTGTTTTTATGGTTCTTGAAGGCTTATTTGTTTGTTATTAGGTACACACTGCCTGCAAAGATTTATACCATCCTGTGTGTCCCCTTGGCCAGTGTAAAGTGTCTGTCATACCTCCAATTGCACTGAACAGCACCGATTCTGATGGTATGTATCATTGTGTAAATATGTATATTCTTGGTATTAAATGTTGATATGTGCATTCACTTTCCTAGAATAAGTTGAACTGTAATTGGTTATTTTGGTCAGTTTTTATATAATAATTCATTCAAATTGCTGAATAGTACCTTTAAATTTTTTTAAGTTTCTTTATTTTTTTAATAAATTTTTTTTATACGTTTACTTATTTTTGAGAGAGAGAGATAGAGTGCAAGCGGGGAAAGGGCAGAGAGAGAGGGAGACACAGAATCCGAAGCAGGCTCCAGGCTCTGAGCTGTCAGCAGAGAGCCCGTCGCTGGGCTCGAACCCACAAACCTTGAGATCATGACCTGAGCCAAAGTTGGACGCTCAACCTACTGAGCCACCCAAATGCCCCTAAGTTTATTTATTTTGAGAGAGAGAGAGAGAGAGAGAGAGAGAAAGAGAGAACAAGTGAGCTTGTGTAAGTAGGGGAGAGGCGGAGAGAGAATCCCAAGCAGGCTACATACTGTCAGCACAGAGCCCGTCAGGGAGCTTGAAACATAAGATCATGATCTGAGCTGAAATCAAGGGTTGGAGGCCCAATCAACTGAGCCACCCAGGTGCCCCAGTACATTTAACTTTTATAAGAACATTTTAAAATTAAAATTTAACATAGTTATTATTACACTGGTGAAATTCCTACATATAAGACTTTTTACATTTCACATTTTACATTTCAGTAAATAAAATAAAATTACTCTGTAACAAAACGCAATCCAAAAAGGTTAACTTTTTGTGTTTTTTTTTCCCTCCATAATTTTGAAATTACCCATCAGCATAGCACTTATTGAAATCTGTTTTTCTATAATTTCCTTGAGGAATTTATATTCCTGTAAATTCCATCACTTTTTCCAGAATCTTACAACTTGGTTGTTAAGTGCTGAAGAACCTGTCTTCCTTCTAAGCAAACCATATTACAAAAGGCTTTTACCGTATATCGTTAGTAATGTTTTGCATTGAAAAAGTGCCTGTGGCTTTCAAACTTTTTATATAAATTATGCCAATAGGTATTATAAATACAAGAATATTGGCTGCAGAATATGTAATTTTTTAAAATCTGTGCTGTTAACAGCCCTCCCCCAAGCCCTGCTATAATAAGGTTCTATTACTCATGATAACTTTCAAAATATTTTCTAAAGCCTCATGAAGGAGAAATTAAAATATCTTATAATGCTGAATATGAATATGAATTCTTTGACAAATGTGAATTTACAGACTGTGATCGGTTTCTGATAATTGAGTGTTAAGGTAGGTGGTATATCTCAAATATCTATGATTAACACTTTTGCCATCTGTACTAGGATTTTTCATTATAGAGCATATTATAAGAGATAAGTTCTGTAGTCTTATTGTGTAAATAATAAACCTGTCTCCATTTTGGGGGCTAAATTATAATTTATTGTTCAAGTAATAAACAAGGTTCTTTATGAATTTATGTTCTTTTCTCTGAAGTTTCATTAATGGTTTAATAGAGACAGCTGTACATATTGTACTGTGTTGTTGTTTTTTTGTTTTTTTTTTACAGGTTTCTGTAGAGCGACATTTTCATTCTGTGTTAGTCCTCTATTGGTTTTTGTCAATTCTAAGAGTGGAGATAATCAGGGAGTAAAGTTCCTTCGTCGATTTAAACAGTTGCTAAATCCGGCTCAGGTGTTTGATTTAATGAACGGAGGTCCTCATTTAGGGTAATTGATTATTGATTAATTTCATTAGAATGAAATGTAGCACCAAGCATGAAATGTTTGATTTTTCAGTTCATGAAGATTGTCAATTCATCTAGACATCTCTATGTTGATCTTCCCACTCCTCCCTTTTTAAAGCTCTAATTATACGTTTTAACTTCCCCTTTTTGATATTTATACAACTTCCTTATGTGCTGAAAATCCCAAAATTTGTTTAGAAAATGTTTTAGAATATATCATACATCAAATAGTACTAACAGTTTACTTAGCTTTGAGAAGGAATCTGTGTAAATATAGAAATACATGATAATTTTAGAAAATGATCTGCGTGGAAGGCTAGCATTGATTTTTATGTAATACAAATAATCAATTATTTAACCAAAGCACAGATACTATTGCAGGTCCCAAGGATTGGAGACTCATTCATATAAATTACAAAAAATACTGTTGTTGATTGTTCTTTTCAGCTTTCTGGAATATCCTATGACTTACAATCTGAAAAAAAATTAAATGTATTATCAGTGAGGGAAAATATACCTTCCGGTACTTTAAATACATTTTTAGTGTATGCATATGATTTTGTTGAAGAGGTGATACAATGTCATTAGAACCAAGGGCCTGCAACCTCTCCATGATTTACTTCTGTCAACTCAACTTTTCTCTTAAAGCATGAACACAGAAGTAGGAATGGGGATTTTAGGTACCCCCAGAAGGCCTTTACCCTTTCCTGTCCTTTCTATCTCTTGCCTCAGTCTTTGTGCTTCTTTTCACTTTTGCTCTTCAGAGTCTTTCTCCTTGTTCCCGTTGCCTTCTTGCCAAGTCTCAGGCCCTTCTGAGCCCATGGATGTTCATCTTTTTCATCTGTCTCCAACCCCTTCCCTGGGTTCTGGTATTTCCTTACCTGGCTTCTCCCCTCACTTGTGTCTTTTCCGTTGCTGGTTAGCTGTGTCTTCCTTTCTAGCACATCTGTTTAATAACCCTTCACAGTTCCAATATCTTACATTCTTAACATTTCCTTTTCTCACCTATATAATTCCAAGGAAGGCCCTTTGTGAAACCTCTTGAGATCGTCTCTATATTTTTTAGATTTCCCACAATACTTGAGGTGGACAAAGGTACATTCAGAAGGTGCAATGTGTCAAAAGCTGAGATGAAGGAAAAGGAATATAAAAGTAAAAAAGACTGACCCAAGTCTAGGGGATGAGGCGGAGGAGAAGCGAGTGGGTGTCCGAAAAGTGATACATCGACAAGGTTTGATGGGTCTCTTTAGAAACGGCCTTGAGCATCAATAGTATCAGTGCCCTAGATTCACCATCCCTGGTTGGTAGTATACTATTCTTAAGGAAATAACATATCCTTATAATGGAAAGAAAAAAAAGTCACTACTTTTACCATGTTGTATCCCTTACCTTTCATTCTCTTTCCCGGGTCTGCTTCTTTGTTTTCTCATTTCCAACTCCCTTTTTCACCTAATTTTATCTCCCATTTCTACTTATAATCCCCTTTCCTCCTTACGATTAAGAAGTTTTCTTGAGTTAAGAATTGCACTTTAATTTTTATAGTATAATTAATATGTAAGAGTTCTTATAGTTATCTGAACATGAATACCAACAAATACAGAATAACAAAGAATTGGGGGAAGTGATTTTCATTTATTTGTATTAAAATAAAATCCTTTTTACTTTCAGTTTAAGATTATTCCAGAAGTTTGACAACTTTCGAATTCTTGTTTGTGGAGGAGATGGAAGTGTAGGTTGGGTTTTGTCAGAAATTGATAAGCTCAACTTGAATAAACAGGCAAGTACTCAGTCTTTCCTGACTCATTAACTACATTAACATGTACTCATTAGCATGTACGTATGCTAATCTGCTGACCAGGGAGGTGCAGAAATGCCATAGCTCCTGTTTCTCAGCTTGTCTGAGGTCTCCCTGTTGTATTCTCTTTCAGTGTCAGCTGGGAGTATTGCCCTTGGGTACAGGAAATGACCTTGCCCGCGTTCTGGGCTGGGGAGGTTCATACGATGACGACACCCAACTTCCTCAGATACTAGAGAAGCTGGAACGAGCCAGTACCAAAATGCTAGACAGGTAAAAGAGAATTTTCTTCCAAAACCAGACTGAATATGGCCTACTAAATCATTTTTGGCAGTTTAAATTTTATGAACTGTAAGCCCCATGAGGACAGAGACTTCCTGGTCCTACCTACTCTTTTCACGCCTGAGGTCTAGGACAGAGCCCAGTGTAGAGTAGACACTCAATAAATATATTTTTTGAGTGAATGAATGAATTGTAACAATAACTGAGAAAACTAGTCTAATGAACCCACTTTTTTATTTTATTTTATATACAGAAGATATCTTTTTATCTTTATTTTTTTAATATGAAATTTACTGTCAAATTGGTTTCCATACAACACCCAGTGCTCATCCCAACAGGTGCCCTCCTCAATGCCCATCACCCACTTTCTCCTCCCTCCCTCCCCCCATCAATTCTCAGTTTATTCTCTATTTTAAAAACAGAAGGCTATGCTGATACAGCAATTACTTGTCCTTGTTCTCCAGGTCAGAAAGCTTCAATAGTTCATTTTGTGTGGGGGCTTTTGATGACTATAATAGGTCATATAACAGGCCCCATCATCTTGCGGCTTCATGAAAGCTACGGAAGACACATAAAGTTTAGATTTGTTAGAATATCTCTTCTTAATTATTGCATACTAAGAATGAATTGAACCAACAAAGAACTGAATACTAAAAAAGATAATCCTTTCCCAGGGACCGAGAAATATTAGAAAGACCTCTTCATATCAAGGAGGTGTTTATGATGTCCTGACCACATCTCAACCTCTTTTCTCTAAACGCCCCACGTATAAAAAAGAAATCACAGTACGTGTACCCTGAATATTCTAGAGGAGGTGTTTAGGATTGAAGTTTAGGAGCAACAGGACTCAGTACGCAGTAACCAACCCCCCCCACCACCACCACCATAAGTAGAAGACAAATGTCAAAATATCATTATGGACTTAAGCTAGCATGAATCAAAACAACTTTGATAGGATTAGCCATCTGTGGAACTGTTCCCGAAAATAACAAAATCTCATCAGGGAGTCACCAACCTAAAATGTAATTACTCTAAAATGAGCTATAACCTAATTAATTGTAACCTTGCCTGTCCTAAGGTAATGTTGTAATGGTCGATTCTTTTGCTGACAGAATATTTCAAAAGAGAGCTGGGTGGTACAGCATTTGTCTAAAGTTATGGTTATCCCAAACTATTCAGGAGAGGGATACCCCGGTCATTTAGGTGCCTAAAGGGGCTTCTGTCTCCAGTCTTTAAAAGACCCCAGAGGTGATTTCCCAGTTCTGTGCTTACCAAACTATGCAGGGTATTTGAAATGGCTTTTTGCTGCAAATTTAAACACTGTTCTCGCTGCACCCCAAGAACAGAAAAGTCAGAATTCATTGCGTTAGTGAAGAAGGGGAAGGTTTACTATGTATGTGCATTTCTTATTTCATGGAGTTTGGAAGTCACTAACCAGAGAACTGGTAAGATATGGAAATCATAAAGCATGAATTCAGCATTTTATGAGATTGCCAAAAATTCCATCTCTTTTTTCCAGTATCTGGTTGTCTTAGATACAATAAACCATAGTTTGTGCAGACTTGTGCATATGTATGAGAACAGAATCTGTTTATTAAATTTTAAAGGAATTTTAGACCAAAGACTTTTCTCCCTTCAGGTGGAGTATAATGACCTATGAACTCAAGTTGCCTCCAAAAGCTTCTCTACTTCCAGAACCTCCAGAAACATCCGAAGAATTTTATGTAAGACTTTAACCTTTTGCCTATTTATCATTTGGAAATAGCGGTGAATATCTTGACCAAGTAAGAAAACTTTATAAGATACGGTAGCATGCTTGCTTAGTTTTATTTTTTATTATTTTGGGTATGGGTTCATTGACTGCTTCTAGTCTTCTCTCTCAGAAGGAAGAATTCATACGATGCAGGTTAGAGTCTTTCTATGACCACCCACACTGGAAACATGAAGTTAGCCACATCACTCACTGTCATGGGCCGCTGTTACTTTATCTATAGAACAAGGTTGCAATGTTGGAAAGAGTTAATGCAGTAACAAATGTGTGCAAAGCACCAGGCATGCAAGTTCCCCTTCCTCACCCCTGATGGTTCCCCCTGATATTCCACCTGCCTGCTTCTTTTTACCAACAGGGCTCCAGGGCAGGCCAGCTGATGACAGGTTCCTGTTAGCTTTTACTCAACTTCTGCTTTGGCCATGATCACCTGTCTATTAGGTGTTAGCTCAGCTCCCTTAAGCAATTTGCAAACACACTAATACTTGTGGCCAGAGTATTATATAATTTCTTCCTCCTTTGCGTGCTCTGTTGAGTGTTCACCATTATAGTTTTCCAGTTTAAGCCTGCTGATCAAGATAAAAACAAAGGAAGAAAGACAGCACACTTTTTTCCATCCCTGGTACAGACCATTAACTACAATTTTTAGATGTTCTTAAAGATTCAGCATTTTGATTAAACCTCAAAGCACTGGAGAATGAAAACAGACCCTACTTTTCAAAGGATTACTCTGTGACTAACAAGACCGTTTGGTCTATAATAACTTATTTTTCCCTCTAGGAAAATTCATCTGTTTATAGTTGAAATCTTTATTTTGTCATTAAGAAAATTATGGTCTTGTCAAAACTGAGGAAAGGAATGATAACTAGAAACATGGGGCTATGCCTTAAACCAGCTAATTATATAATGCCCTTTTCTCACATAAAGGTAGCAAAAACTGCCTCTAAAAATATGGAAAATACAAAAATGTATGAAAAAATAATCTTACTTCTAGTCCTAACACCCAAGGATAATTGCTATTAAGGATTAATATATTTACTATTTTCTTTCTAGCAGCATTTTTATTTATGGTATTATCTTATCCAACTACAAATATAATACATGTTTTTATAGGAACCAGTCTTTTTTCTTAATAGTATTTTTGTAAATGCTATTAATTTTCTCCCCAAAGAGACAAAAGAGGGAATTCTTTTGCTCTACTTACTTAAGAGATGTCTACTTCCTAGCATAAAAAATAAAGGTAAATAATTTTACTTTTATTGCATATGTATAGTCGTTAAATACGAGATATGGTTGTAACTACATGGAAGAAATCTCTTTTTTAGTATAAAAGGTTTTGAATGAAACAGTTTATTTTGGTTTCCTATTAAAATATTTCATAACAGGGGCGCCTGGGTGGCGCAGTCGGTTAAGCGTCCGACTTCAGCCAGGTCACGATCTTGCGGTCCGTGAGTTTGAGCCCCGCGTCAGGCTCTGGGCTGATGTCCCAGAGCCTGGAGCCTGTTTCAGATTCTGTGTCTCCCTCTCTCTGACCCTCCCGCGTTCATGCTGTGTCTCTCTGTGTCTAAAAAATAAATAAACGTTGAAAAAAATAATAATAAAATAAAATAAAATAAAATAAAATAAAATAAAATAAAATATTTCATAACAAAGGAATAGCATGCCTTCAGAATACACGTTAAGTGAGTGTTCTACATCACTCTGACTCGTCACCATGTGACTTTTTTACCTTTAAGACTGTAAGAAGAGCAAGCTGAACCTTCCTTCTTAGGCCCAATCTAATTTCCCAACTTATATATTTTTTATTCGTTTTAAATTCCTTTATGCGTGACTGTGAAATTACTGTTTTTTCAGTTTTCCTTAAAAGGACACAAATGTGGTTGAACTTCCTGATTATCTTATTAACTTAGCATTCCGCTGGCACCATAGAATTGCAGAGTTTAAAGAACTGTGACAGTTTTGTTGATGAATTCCTTATGGCCATAATTAAGTAATTCTGTTTCCTGTTATACTTTTTAAACATTGAAAAAGTAGTGATTCCACGATTTCCTCCAGTAACAATGATTCTATTGATACTCACTGGTAGAAAACACATTGTTTGTATTTAGTGTGAAATCCCCATGCTGTCATGTCCTTTTCTCCCATACCCCTTTATGAATGAGTATGTATCCTTCCAGCGATATCATGCTTAGTTCACTCCTGTCCTCACCTCAGGGTATCACTTGCTCCAAGCAGCCACCCTTCATCCCCCAAGTCCCACTACTATCTCCTTCTTGGGAGTTCCATAGCCCCCTTCCATCATCACCTGCCATTATCTTGGTGCAATTGTACTGTCACGGTGCGGCAACGTGTTATCCATTCACCATTGTATTGTCATCTGGTGTCATGACTGACACAAAGCGGGCAATTAATAAAAAATTCTTACTGTTAATTTTTTGTCTAAATACCACACACTTTTGGAACTAGGGACATCTTGGCATCAAAGCCTTCTGACCTTGTCTGTTTCTCGGAAGCCAGATTCCTATTGCTTTCCAATTGGTTTCAAAGCTTTTTGATGTAAGAGTCATATTTTTAGTCTCTTTTGTATCATACCCAAATCACACCAGTCTAGTGAGTCAATAGATGCTCATTTATTAATGGTAAGGTCATAAAAAAGAGGATGTGAACTGCTGCACCTCCATCCTGACAACAGGAGCGAATGGCTTCAAATCCCTGGAAACGAAATTCTTCCTATTAGTTTATTTTTTTTATTTACTCTTATAGAAAGCTCCTCTCCCCTCAATTCTTTGTTTCCTAGATGCTTGGTAACAGCATGCTAAGATGTTATAACGTTATTTTTTCATTCACTTAACAATATTAAATGCCTGTTGGCATCCGGGAGTAGACATAAAAGATTGCCCTCCAGCTCCAGTCAGCTTACAGTGCCGATTCCCAAGCTGTGTGCAGGGGGCCTCCAGGCACTCACTCTGGTGAATTCAGAGGGCTACCATAAGATGTGTTCAAATTTCAAAGAGAATTTAATTGTAATACTCAACATCTATTGGACAGCACACAGCTTGAAGTACTGGACAGTTGAAACATCATTGCACTACACTTCTTTTGATGACATCACATTTTTGCAAAGCTTGGGTTTTCAGTAGTCACTGTGACAAAAAGCAAACACCACACAAAAGTCAGTGTTGAATAGGAAATGAGAGAGTTCTTGTCCAATCTGATTCCAAGGCTTGAGACGTACACAGTGCCTACAGGCTCACAGCTCGTTATTTAAGAGTTAAATATGATACTATTTTTTCTTTTAATCTATGTGTATTATTTTTTCAAGTGGCTATTAAGTTGTTAGGACATAAATACTAAGTTGTGTGTACTTAACTACTGTTAGCTGTTCCTTTAGGCCTAGGGGTATGTGACAAAATCATTCAGACATTAAGGATGCCACAAAGCGAGAAAGCTGGAGAATATATTTTGAGGGACAGACAATAAATGATCAGCTATGTTTAGGTTATTTTCAGGGTATAATGGCTGCACAGAAGAGAGGGCTCTCAGTCTGGTAAGTTCAGTGAAGTCTTTACAGAAGAGATTGTATCTAAACTGGGTTTTCAGCACAAAGAGAAGTAGGAATTAGCCAGTTGAAAAAGAGCATCATGTAGAGCTTGATAGTAAGGACCTTCATACATTTGGGACACTACAAGTAATTCTGTTGAGTTAGAGCTCATGGGCAAGGGAAGAGCATCAAAAGACATGACGGTGGAGAGAAGGAGGGTTCAGATCATGGAGAATCCTGGGAATTGTGGAAGGTGTTGTGTGTTAGCTGAAGAATTTTGACTCTGTCTGGAAAGTAGGAAGATCCCCTGTAACATGTTAGGCAGAGATGTGTCATGCTCAGATTTGTGTTTTGGAAAAAGATCATTGCATCATGAAGTGGAGAATGATTTGAAAGGGGTTAGAGAGATATAGGGATCCCAGCTACAAGGCTGGTATAATGATGCACTTGAGAAATGACAAAATTTATATTTGACAGTTAACCAAAGATCAGGACTTGCTTGGAGTGGAGGGTTGGGGTGGGGCGGGAATAATAGTGGGATAAGCTGCAGACCTGGCCCCCTAGTTTGTCTTTTCTTCATTAGCCCAGGATCGTGGGAAAATCACACAACTTCACTGAGCCTTAGGTTCCTTGGCTATAAAACAGGACAATTAATGGGATAAATATGTATCGAATACTTCATCACAGTGTCTGTACACAATAAAAAATGTTAACTATTATTCTTACCTTACCTTCCTGACTCTAAATGACTACATAATAGCTTAATAAGGGACATCAATAATTTTGTCTTTGGACATAGAGTTATTTCATTTTCCTCTGGAAGAGGTTGTATTCTTTGCCTTTTCTTATTTTTAACAGACAAAAACTTGGATTTTTACATGTAATTTCAAAGGGAATTACTGAGAGTATAAAATACTTTCCCCTACCTTCTTAGGCTCTATGACAGTCTATCCTGTAGGGAAAATAAATGAAACTAATCATTTTGAAAAATACTTCCTTTCTTTGCTTTTTTAAAAGATGTATTTTCATTTTTCTGATCTTGAGTATAAAGATACAACTTTTAATGTTTACACTGGAAGATGAATAAAGTGGATTTGCAAGTGAACACAACATTGCGTGAGGCTTTGAGGCTCCTCCCCTCCCATCCTTTCCTTAATGTAAGAATTCCTTTCTATACGTGGTCTGCCTCTGAAGAAAGTAAGATAGAAATTTAAAAGAGTGACATACTGATTAGCCACTCATGGAACTGGGCAGAAATCGGGAATGAGATCTCTTTGGAAAGACGCTAGTCAGGAAGGCTTTAAGGAGGGGGGGTGGTAACTGAATCTACATTTAAGTCTGAATGACCTGGTGCCAATGGGTAAGAAGCAACAAAAGGATATCAGAGAAGGGCGGAAGAACACAGGAGGCCAGCTGGAACAGAGCAGGTGGTTTACACTGGAAATTTTGAGCTGTAGGACGTTGTACATATTGGAGGCAAACATTTGATGGAAGGCTCTGAATAGAGGCTGTTTAAATACTGTGCACATGTTTGCATATTAGGAAGATCTGTTCTTTCAACAGAATCTTACATTTTGAGTCAAACAGAAAAGGGGAGACAGGACTCCCTGAGCATTTTGATTACTTCCTAATTTGAGAGATTTATTTACATGGCTGTATGACAGACTACTCAACATTCTAAAAAACTTTTTATTGAATTGTGCACCCAGAAAAGTGCACCAATCATAAATGTACAGCTGGTAAGTTTCCACAAGCTGAATACACCCATGTAATCAACATGCAGATCACAAGGCAGTATTATCAGCGTGCTGTGAGCCCCCACAGGCCCTCTTCCATTCACCACCCTCCCCTCCCACCCCAGGAACCACTCTCCTGGCTTCTAACAGCATAGATTATTTTTGTCCATTCTGCACTTTATAAAATGAATCATTTTGTAAGCAGTTCTTTTCTGAATCCTTTTATTCCACATTATGTCTGTGAGATTCATCCATGTTATGGCATAGCTGTAAACCACGCATTCTCATTGCCCCCATCTAGTCCATTGTGAGGATATACTCCGATGTGTTATCCATTCTGCATTTGAGTGAATGCTGCTATGAACGTTTTCTATCACATGTCTTTTGGTGAACGCACATTACATTTCTTTGGGTGTGTGTGTGTGTATAGAAATCGGATTGCTGGATCCTATGCTATATGCATATGTTTGGCTTTGAAAGACACCCAGCAGTTTTCTAGAGTGTTTATATCAATGCCTGCTCTCCCACCAGCAGTGAATGAGACTTCTGTAGCTCCACAACCTTGCCAATATTTGGCATTTTCCAGGCATTGTTGCTGCTATTTCATTTTAACTCCTCTGGCAAATACAGTGGAACCTCACTGTGGTTTTATTTTGTGTTTGCCTGACAGCTGATGAGGCTGATTTCCTTTCATCTGTTTGTGGACCTTTTTTTTTTTTATCCTCCTCTTTAAATTTCTAGTCTTTAGCCCATTTTTCATTGGGTTGTCTGGCTTTTTTTTGGTGCCTACCTGGAGGAGTTCTTTATGTGTTCAGCCATTCGACATTTTTTTCTAATTTAATGGATTTTAGGGTTTTTTCTAAGACTATAGATTAAGGAATTTCAGAAACTAAAAGCCTTTTATAGAAGGGAAGTATTTATCTATTTTGTATGATGACTTTTCATATAATTCATTATACTCACGTCCCTGTGTCACATGTGTCTTAAATGATCCCATTTTGGAAGTGGTAATAAACTGAGTTGTATAAATGCCAGCAACAATAATACAGTGTAGGTTTTTTACTTTTTCAGATGACAATTTATGAGGACTCAGTTGCAGCTCATCTTACAAAAATCCTCAATTCTGATGAACATGCCGTGGTCATATCATCTGCCAAGTGAGTAATGGAGTTCAAGTCATGAAAGAGTTATATGGTGAAAATGAAAGGACAGCTTGTTCCTACCATTTATGTAACTTTTTTTGTGATTTCCCCCCCCCCCAAAATATTGGTGAAGTAACTTATAAAGTTAGAGTACCTTATAAAGTTAGATATACTAAACTTGCATTGTTTTTTTTAAAAATCACTTTAGCATCTTATTTGCAGTGAAGTATATATTTAGAGGGGTTTTTTTAATGCTTAATCTGAAATATTTTTATCAGAAAGGTGTGATATGAGTTAGAGTTTAATTAATCTAAGTTCCTATTTAAAGAAGCATTTATGATTATAATATGGAAAACACATTTCACCATAATTTATTATTTCCATAAACACTACTCTTTAGGAACTGTTTACATCAGGAAAGGGAAAATATTGAAGAAATTTTTCAAAGTGACATTTATCAGCATGTTAGAATTCCATAATTATATTTTAATTCAAAGTTATCAGATTTTAGTTAGGTTGATTCTGTACATGGAGCCAAAGCTACTTGATTTTATTATCTTAAATGTTGCCTGCCCGGAATTTAGAATTTAGTTTTGAAATATCCTATACTGATATCCTGAGAGCTGGAAAGTCAACTAGAGTAAGGGGTGAAACCCGCTGAAATTTTCAACTGATAAGCAAAGGTCAAAGCATGCTTTAAGATTCTGGCTTAGCAAGGAAATATTACTGTTATACAGAAAGAGGAGACAAAGAAGAAGTAAAGGGAGTGAGGGACTGGGGAAGTAGTGGGAGGAAAAACACACAAACCTTAGTATATTATATATTTAATTTGCAAAGACTCAAGGGAAGACCAGATAAATCATTACAAACAAATTTGCTTGTGACAGAGTACAAATACAGTAACGACTGCTTTTGCTGCCATAACCCCCAGGAATAGGAAACCGGGCTGAGCAATAGGAAGGGTATTGCTTAAGGAATAATAGGAAGGAACAGCTTAAGGCAGGGGAGCAGACTGGTTGCCCAGAGAGGTGGGCAGCAGATGCTCTGATGCACAGTGCTGCTGGTGGGTTTTTGCTGCTGTTGTTTGGTTGGGCGTTTTTTTTTTTTTGTTTGTTTGTTTTTTTTAATGTTTATTATTTTTGAGAGAGAGGGAGAGACAGAGGCACAAGCGGGGAATGGGCAGAGAGAGAGAGGGAAACACAGAATCGGAAGCAGGCTCCAGGCTCTGAGCTGTCAGCACAGAGCCCGACATGGGGCTTGAACCCATGAACCGCGAGATCATGACCTGAGTCGAAGTCGGACGCTCCACCGACCGAGCCACCCAGGCACCCCTGGTTGGGTGTTTTCTGACAAGTTGCATGGCTTATGGTGAAATGTAAAAATCTCCAGTTCCTCCCAAGCCTCAGCACTCCCTAGGCCTTCCTCATAGTGGGCCAAATTTATAAATATACCCACGTCATTCATTAGGTACTTCTTAAGTTACTACTACAAGGAAGACATTTGCGCTTGCCACCCTTGCTCTATGAATCAAATGCTTGTTTTTATAGGACATTTTAGAAGCTATTGCTAGAAAAAATGGAAAGCTGATTGGAAACTTTTAAAAATTATAACAAGTTATAAAAAGAATTGTTCTTTAGTGCAGTTAATATTTTAAATATTTCAAATTTGGATGTTAGCAAATCTCTTGATATTGGCCTTCATGTGTTTGATGTGTTTGATTACTGCCTTCTATACATTTAATATGTTTCTTAACTGAGATATAATTGGCTTATAACCTTGTCTTCTTTTAAACAAAATATTATGTAGAATTCTAATATTTAAATAATTAAAAATCTATTTTGTTGTCATTAATAAATTGGACAAGATTAAATTGTTAGCCATTTGTGAGAAAAATTAAGCAATGAGATTATAGATAACAGTTATAATTTTTTATTTGATGCAGTTTCTAATTATTTCTGTATTTTATTTTGATTATTGAAGACAATTTCCTTACTAACATGTAACCAAAATAAAATACAGAAATAGCTGAAAACTGCATCAAATATAGTCTAAGATTTTCCCCAAAAAACTGAATTCTGAAGTGAAAGCTAACATATTACTTGTCTCTCATATTTCTAATGATTATTTGAGCATGTAAAAAAATATATATCCTATATTTCTTTTTTTTTTAGTTTTTTTTTTTTTAACATTTATTTTTGAGACAGAGAGAGACAGAGCATGAACAGGGGAGGGTCAGAGAGAGGGAGACACAGAATCTGAAACAGGCTCCAGGCTCTGAGCTGTCAGCACAGAGCCTGATGCGGGGCTTGAACTCACTGACCGCGAGATCATGACCTGAGCCAAAGTCGGCCGCTTAACCGACTGAGCCACCCAGGCACCCCTATATATCCTATATTTCTAAGTGAAATTTGAATCAAGTATTTGCAAAATCCTTGAAGTCTTTCTGGAAAACAGTTTGAAAAACACAGTGTTGAAAAACACAGTTTGAAAGTCACAGTTTTGAGCCAAGTAGAAGTAAATCTGAGGTCCTGGCTGAGATTCAACCATTTAGTAGCTTTGTGGCCCAGGTCTGTTTTATCAAGTGTAGGAATGTCCTTCCTCTCTCATGGAACTGCTAGGAGATTTAAGTTGAGTAGTAAAATAAATATAGAGCTTATAAACTCCAGAGTGCTATATTAAATTATGGTATCATCATCTCATGTTTTAATCAATTACATTCAAATTTTTCTTTGACCTTGGCCTGGCTCTTTGTCTAGGCTCCACTATTATTAACTTTAGCTTTGGATTTCTCTCTGACCTTCGTTTGCCTCTAAGCAGATTCTATTCCAACCCTGGTCCCCTCTTGTCACTCCTGTGTGCTCCCATACTGCCCAGCTGTCTTGCCTTTATAACCCCGGATTAAAATTTTAGGGGATTTGCCATAAAAAGATTTAAGACTGAAAAGAAAGGACAAAATGTAGTAAATTTGTACCATTAATATAGTATATTTTCAATTTAATTTTTGTTATGAACATTTTCAAACATACATAAAAGTAGACTAGTATAATGGTTTCCCACCATACCCATCACACAGCTTCAGTGTCTGTCAAAATTTTGTCATCCACTTCCACTTTTCCGTGCTACAGTATCTCTAAGCAAATCCCAGAAATCCTTTTATTCTAGTTTCAGTATATATACCTAATAATCTTATTAAAAAGTCTAATAAAATTAGTAATAATTCTCTAAGACCATCTCGATCCGTATTCCATTTGCCCTAATTATCTCAAAGTTTTTTTTTAAACAGTTGTTTTATTCAAGTCAAGAACCAAACAAGGTTCAATTACTGCATTTGGGTTATATGTCCCTTTAAGATTTGTAAAGGATAGGGGCACCTGGGTGGCTCAGTCGGTTAAGTGGCCGACTTCGGCTCAGGTCATGATCTCGCGGTCAGTGAGTTCAAGCCCCGCATCGGGCTCTGTGCTGATGGCTCTGTGCTGATGGCTCTGTGCTGATGGCTCGGAGCCTGGAGCCTGCTTCTGTTTCTGTGTCTCCCTCTCGCTGCCCCTCCCCCATTCGCACTGTGTCTCTCTCTGCCTTTCAAAAATGAATAAATGTTAAAAAAAAAAAAAAAGAAAAAAAGAAAGAAAGAAAAAAAAGACTTGTAAAGTATAAAATAGTTCTCCCTGCTTAAAAAAATTTTTTTTTTTCAGGGCACCTGGGTGGCTCAGTCAGTTAAGCATCCAACTCTTGATTTTGGCTCAGGTCATGATCTCATGGTCATGGAATCGAGCCCTGCATCGGCCTCCATGCTGAGCATGGAGCCTGCTTAAGATTCTTTCTCTTTCTCTGCCCCTCTCCCCCAGTCATGTTCACTCACTCTCACTTTCTCTCTCTAAAATAAAATTAAATTTAAATTAAATAAAATAAAAGTTAAATAAAGTAAATAAAAATAAAATAAGGTAAAATAAATTGTTATCAAGGCATGACATATACACGGTAAAGTAGCCAAATCATAAAGGTATAACTTAAGTGATGAGAGAAAAGAATACACACACACATTCACATTCACACACACATTCTTGTAACCACCACCTAGATAACATAAATAATTCCCTTCCTTTGATAATGCTAGTTACTTGTTAAATGATATAATATTCAGGAAGAATGTTTTAACCTCCTTGTGCATGTTTAAACTTGTTTTATAAAATAGTAATTCCCAGCAGACTAAGCTGTTTTAACTATTTTTTAAATGCTGAAAATACTATGGAAATGCTATATTCCATTAGCATAGCTAATATGTAGGTTAACTAACGTAGTTACTATGAACTAACCAACATAATGTCAACATTTCTTTGATTTTGAAATTTTGTAAACATGAGTTACCTTCTGAGAATCAGAAGCATTAGCTAGCAATTATAGATGTCATTTATTAATAAAAATACAAAGCAAAGTTATTAAGTAAATGCAAGTTGTTCTGAGGATAAAGCTTCTTAGAATATGGGATCGCTGGCCAGAAAAAAAAAGTAAGATTGGAACTATTGCCATAGAACCATAGAATTTTATTTTATTTATATTTTTTAATGTTTATTTATTTTTGAGAGAGACACAGAGTGCGAGTGGGAGAGGGGCAGAGAGAGAGGGAGACACAGAATCAGAAGCAGGTTCCAGGCTCTGAGCTGTCAGCACAGAGCCCGACACGGGGCTCGAACTCAAGAACGGTGAGATCAGACCTGAGCTGAAGTCGGACACTTAAATGACTAAGCCATCCAGATGCCCCTAGAACCATAGAATTTTAGATTTGGAATCTATCTTAGAGATAATTTAGGCTAGCTCCTCTCCCCCATTAAATAGATGAGATAAGATATGTAGTTATTACAATCTTTCCTCAGAGCATAGAGTAGGTAATGGTTTTTTAATATATTATGCATTGATATTTGAAAATCATCTTTAATTTCTGATTGGAACTTTTTTATATCAGATGGAAAATGAATTTTTCAGATGATACCTGCCTGCCAATATGCACATCTGTTTGGGCACCATTGCCATATTTTTCTGCATGTAGTGTTTGCATGTTTTATTGTCATTTGCCACTATTAAAAAAATAAGTGAAAAATTGATAAATGAAGATACTGCTACTAGTGATGAAAAGTATAGATGCCATGAATACAATCTGATTGAGATCATAGTGGAAATCATCAAGCATGCTAAATGTGGACTATTGTTGGCTCCAACTGAGTATTTGGTGCAAAATCAACTACATATTTGTGTTCAACTTGGAAGGAAGAGAACAAAACTAAAGAAATAAAATGCTTGGAAATAGCTTGTCAAAGTTATGACTAACATTAATTTAAAATATAATTAGGGATTAAAAATATTTATAACTCTATGAGAAAATCCATGTTCCACTTTCATTTATTTGATTTTTGAACCTGTTTTCTGGAAGTCTATGCATTAAAGTAGAAACTATCAGTTGGAGAATGTCTTTTACGTTATTACAGTAAATACATTTATTTTTTTTTTATTCATTTTGAGAGAGAGAGAGAGAGAGCAAGTGGGGAGGGACATTGAGAGAGGGGGAGAGAAAGAGAGAGAGAGAGAGAGAGAGAGAGGATCCCAAGTAGGCTCTGTGCCTTCAGTGCAGAGTCCAATGCAGAGCTTGGACAAACAGGGTAATCATGACCTGAGCTGAAATCAAGAGTTGGATGCTTAACCGACTGAGCCACACAGGTACCCCTACAGTAAATACGTCTTTAAATTGCTTTTCTCCAGTTTGCAAGTTCCCAGGTAGTATGATTTTGAAATCATACTAGTGTACGTTTTATTTCAATTTTAAGAATTCTACAGTCACTATTTAGGTGTAGTAAAAAGTTAGTTCATTTCTCCCGAGTGTACGTATTTTATATCTTCTGGAATATGAAACTTACTGGATCCTAAGATAGACCATTTCTTCTAATTTTCCCCACAACTTCCATGGCAAGTATTCTCTAACACAGAATCGTACTCTCCCCTCCAGCCTCCACCTGCCTCAACAACATGGTACCTTTGTTGCCCCTTGCATTCCTAGGCTGATGGGCCAACAGGCTCTGTCCCTAAGAATTAGGAAAATGCCAGCAAAAGTAGTTATGATAATGTTATGGCATATGCAATTTCACAAATTCTGACAGAAAATTATATCAGGGCAGTGTTGTAACAATAGCAAAGAAAAGGTCCATTTTGGAGTTCTGTAAAGAGGGGAAACTGTCCGTGTCTCCTCTTCTTAGAGGTGGGACATCTTAGAGACACTTTCAGTAAACTTCATAGAAAAACTTTCACGATAGCCTCACTTTAATATTTCAACAAGTTCTATAAAAGTGCTATACATGAACAAAGAGGACAAACCTTGAGGTGGAGCACATGAATGCATCTCTAATAAATAGTAAGCTAGAGTCTCTGGAGAATTGTGATTTTAAAAAGCCAACAGAGGGGCGCCTGGGTGGCTCAGTCAGTTAAGTGTCTGACTTCAGCTCAGGTCATGATCTCACGGTTCGTGGGTTCAAGCCCCGCGTTGGGCTCTGTGCTGACATGTTGGAGCCTGGACCCTGCTTTGGATTCTGTGTCTCCCTCTCGCTCTGCTCCTCCCCCACTCACACTCTGCCTCTCTCTCTCAAAAATAAATAAACATTAAAAAAATAAAAAATAAATAAAATTTTAAAAAATTTGAAAAAGCCAACAGAAAGGTTGAAGGTTAGGAAATACTACTTTTTGTCCGAGTGAAATCTAGAGATGGTTGCCAAAAAACAACAAAGAAAATAAAAATTGTTAAATTGTTAGGAATAATTCATTTATTTCTTAGATAATAAATGTGAACGTTTGGAGTGTGTGTATGTACACTCTATCTATTGAATGGCTTGATTTCATAACACTTAAATATCTGGAAACTTAATCATTATATCACTCACATACCAGAGAAAATTGTGAGGATAATAAAAAAAAATAATTGCTGGAACCTGCTTGTTTTTTCCTTCAAATTCCTAAACTGTATCCATAATAAAGAGAAATATAATTGTTTTAAAATAATTCTGATTTTGTTTTCAGACTCACTAAGCCCATGCTAGAAAAAGCTGGTCACATACCATTCTGTTGGATTGTTTCAACACCAGTCCCAAAGACTTTTGAAAGACAGATTTTCGTCAGTGTTGGGGTTTCAGATTATTTTTTCTCCTAATCTATTTCTATTGCAAAGAAACCAAATTTATGTAAAAGGAACAAGTAAAGCATATGTTGTTGACACTAACAAAATCTAAATTAAATTAGTCTTGCCTATGACTATACTGGTCACCTTAAGGAAATAGATTTGCAGAGAATATAACTCAATCCAAGTGGCAGGTTGGCTACACAATCTCTTTCCTCTTTAGGAACAATATACTTTCAAGATACCCAGATAATGAACATTAGAGTGACAGTGACAACTTTAAGTGACAAATTTATCCTTGTTTTTTCAACATTGCAAGTTCTGTTATGAAAATATATAAGATGCCGGAGATAATGCTTTAAATTTTTTAATGGGATCTACAAATGCTCCTCTCAAGAATTTAATTTAAATATTTGAGAAGGACTTATTATAACCTTAAAAGGACTGTTAGTTAAATTATATAGAGCAAAGTGTATTCATGTACATTTCCGTTTATCACTTAGAATGTCTTGAACTTCTACAGTGCGTGTTACACAGCAGATAGAGTATGGGTTTTTTATACAAATGGTCCCTATATTTTGACCTAAATGTGCTTGTTTTAGGTATAGTTTACCTAATTGTGCTTGTTTTTAAAATGTTTGTCAATCAAACCAAATCAGCCTACTGGGTTTACTGAATTTCACCATTTCTTTTCCTCAAAGGATCCTATGTGAAACTGTAAAGGACTTTGTTGCCAAAGTAGAGAAGGCATACGAAAAAACGTTGGAAAATGCTGTTGCAGCTGATGCTGTGGCCAATAAAGTAAGCAGGTCACCTTTAGAGCATGAAAGTTTTGACTCACAATGCTGGCATTGAATGGTGTTTTACAGCTAGATTGATTAAGTGGCTTTCTTACCAAAACATCTTAAATCAAGAGAAAAAGTCCTTTTGAATCAGATGTAAGGGATTAAAACATATTCTATTTTATGGTTATCTGGTAGGAAAACTGCGTTACTGAAGACCATCTGACAACACGAATTTTATAGCTCAACTCCCTTTTCCCACTGATTGACATCTTGAAGGGGAAATGCACAGTAGTCGGGTCACAGGTGGGAGATGCAGAGCCACTGGTGTTCCAGTGCAGAGAGAGGAATGGCTTTCCATTTCCAGGCAAACTGGGCGTCAGGCTCTGTCCGTCCATCTTAGCGCCATTCCTTAGGTTCCCCAGACAGTATGGCCCTTGGTCCCTTTCAGGGTTCTGTTTCTTGCTTTGCCTTTTTCTTTATAGATTTTTTTCCCCCTTTATGAGCTTTCTGAGGCTAACATAAGAAACTTAAAAGCTACTCTCTTTGCTCTCATATGTTCATGACAAAAGGTTCTTACAAAAGGTTCTTGGGCTTGAAAAGGAATGGTCTCCTCCAGATTCATGCTGTCGATGGTGGTTTAACTGAGTGAAAGGAAAAGAAAATGGAAGTAAACATACATTTGACATTTTCAGCCTCTTTTCTTCTTGTTTTTCTACTCTGTGGATAGCTTCAGAAAGGCCTCTGTAGCCACACTTTTTTCTGTTAACTATTTCCACTGTAACCTTGTGTTAGCATGACATCAAAGGCCAATAAATGGAGGCGGAAGGAACTGGAACTTGTGTGGAATAAAAGGTAAATTAGGCAGTCACATCAACAGCTTCCATCCTAAATATTTCTTTACCCATAGTCATTCAAGAGAAGCAGACAGAAACAAGGTCCGAGAGCTGGTTTTTCTTTCTCCATCTTCTTTTACTTCTTTATCATTGTGCATTTTCCTTTTTTGCTCTTTTTTTGAGCCATTAATCCCTTAGGTGCCCTTCACTCCTTTTAAAACCAAAGCTTTGAAGGAGAGCTTACCAAGGCTCAGCCAGACCTGCAATTTGTGATGCTCAAAACAGTACCATACATTGATTACTTTAAAAAGTTTATGCAATATTCTGTATAATGCATAAATTTTCTGTGTAACGTGTAAATTTTCTGCATAATGTGTCACTTTAATGTGTTCTTTTAAGAAAAAACAACTATATATATAGTTATATAGTTGTGAGACTTTTTTTTTTTTCAACGTTTTTTATTTATTTTGGGACAGAGAGAGACAGAGCATGAACGGGGGAGGGGCAGAGAGAGAGGGAGACACAGAATCGGAAACAGGCTCCAGACTCCGAGCCATCAGCCCAGAGCCTGACGCGGGGCTCGAACTCACAGACCGCGAGATCGTGACCTGGCTGAAGTCGGACGCTTAACCGACTGCGCCACCCAGGCGCCCCTAGAGACTTTCTTTTAAGGGAAAATAGTTATATAAAGATGGTAGAATTGGAATATTCTGGACGTGCATGTAAAAATTCACATAATTGTACTTCTTTTAAAAGTGATAGATTACTTAGTCCATAAACTATCTAAAGTATAATCTATAATAGATGGCCTGTTAATGGTAAATATTAATATAGGCATCTTTCCTCTAAAATCAGAAGCCATTCACTTAAATTATCATTTTCCATTCCCACCAAATGGAGATTCATTAGTGTATTTTTGTTTTCTTAGTGTTCAGTCCTAAATGAAAAGCTTGAACAACTGCTTCAAGCTTTACACACAGATTCCCAGGCTGCCCCCGTTCTCCCAGGCATCAGCTCTCTCATTGTAGAAGAAGATACCGTGGAATCTTCCAGTGAAGAATCTTTGTGTGAAAACAAAGAACAACTCACCGATGACCCTGCAAAACCTTCCTCCCAGAAAGCTGTGAGACCAAACGAAATAATGTTGCGGGCAAACAGTTTAAAGAAAGCAGTGAGGCAAGTCATTGAAGAAGCCGGCAAAGGTACACATGAACGAAATCAGCTTTTGAAGAAGTTAGCAGCATTCTTATATTGCAAGCACAATGGAGTTTTCACACTGGTCAGGCTATACACACATAGAAAATTTTCAGGCAAGACAGAAGATAGGGCCATTAGAATGAAATCTATCCCCTCTCTTGTTTTAGTAGTAAGGATCAGCATATTTATTGTTAAATATGTTAAAGATGTTAAATAAAGTAACATCTCAGAGATAAAGTACACTGGAAATATTGAAAATTAAGTAATAATTATAAAATTTTAAATATCTTCTATGTCATTAGAATCTGTTGAGTTCTCAAAGAAAATCAAACCTGTAAACTACTTTGAAAATACTTTCTTAAATTTGTTTCCTGAATGTTTACGTTGTTTTTTAAAGAGTTTGTAAAAGCTCCACCTATATTTTAATTTTTTGTATCAATATAATATATATACCTCTCTTAGAATTTTAATAGTGGACTGAAGTTAACTTTAATTAAAAATTAACATTGAAATCCCTTTTATAGGTTATAACTTGTAGTTGGACTTGTATTTCATCTCAAATTTTTTATTTTTTTCTTCTGGTAAAAATATAACTTTTACAATTTTAAATATTTAGTTGTATAATCTCTAGTACTTAGAGACATCACCCCAAACTTATCAACTAGTGTTAATTTGTGCATATGGAATTTCTTTTGGTTTATGTTTCATTTTCCTTTTTAAGCATACATTAATATTTATGGATTTTACTTTTACTTGTCCAAACATATTTCTCTCCGACTACTTAAAGTTCTGGATGAACAGAGTGTTCACCCTTGTGAACCAGTTAGCCAGTCATTCGATAATGATAGCACAGAAACAGATGAATCTAAAGAAGAATCTAAAGATGATGGTGCAAAAGAGCCTTCAACTGGTAAGAAAACTAATTATTTTGGAATTCAATAAAATGTAATTCTGCTTTTACTTTTCAAAAGGCTTATCGGTTTGTAATAAACTTTGTATTTTAATTTTAACAAGGCTTTTCAAAAGTTAAAGCTTAGATATTCGTGAATAGTAGAATAATAAAGGTAACATTTAGAGTATTGTCAAGTAGTCACATCCCTTTTTTATCAGATAATCTGGAGATCATCATAATGAACTAAGGATTCTGGGACCAACCATAGCTAAATCTCTTCATTTTCCTGAAGAAAAAAGGAAGAAACACCTAAATCAACAGATTTTAACCTGTTTTTAGCCTACAGATGCATTTGAGAATTCTGTGAAAGCAGTAGGTCCCACAGGCACGGAATTTGGCATTTCAGTAGCTTAGCGGTCCCTTGAATTCCACTGATCAGCTCGGATGGTTTGCGAATTTCCTATTGCTACATTAATCTCTAAAATCACTGGACGTCTAGTTACAACCCTATCTCTACTAAAATTATTTTTTCCAGGAAATTAATATGTAGTTGCCTGTTGAAGTTCAAAGATGAATTTATATTTTTAATATTTCAGATTGTATAAAGGAATAGCTGTTAATTTAGTAGAATAAAACAAAGCAGAAATTAAAGTATTAACGAAGCTGAGAAGTAATATGAAAGTAATCGCATAATACTAATGAAAAGTCAACACTATTAAATCAGAACTGCGTTCATTAAGCTTTTGCTTTATTTTCATTACACATACACTTGGGCAGATTGCTTCATTTCTCTGTGGTTTCCTTGTTTGTGAAATGCGGATAATGACATGCCTACCTGTTGTGAAGGTTGAGGAAGTTAAGATATGTGGAGTGCCTAGAATACAGTCAGGTACATAGTGCTCTGAAAGAGTGTTTGCAGTCATTATCACTATTACCAGTGCTATTGCTATTCCTGCCACTGCCGTTGCTACTAATTACATTAACTTCCAAAGAATTCTCCTTAATTATATGTGAAACTCTTAGCAACTTTGAAATTAGACCTCACATGTCTGGCATGCAACCAATGCATACATATTCTACAACCTTAGCCCTTTTAGACTTTACGTGTACCTATTTCAGCACACGACCCAACTCTATAACCTTAGACTGTAGGGACCTTAACGGTCCCTGTCGCAGCATATAATCCAATACAGGCATACTTTATAACCCTCTTGACAGATGGCCACTCACTTTCTTTTGTTTTTTTCTCAATATTGTATTTTTTTTTAAGTAATCTCTACACCCAGCGTGGGGCTTGAACTCATGACCTCAAGATCAAGAGTCCCAAGCTCTCCCATCTGAACCAGCCAGATGCCCTGTCACTCACTTTCAATACATCCCATTCTTAACATCAGCTCTCAATTGTTAGAAAGCTTTTCTCTATATTCAGCTTTATATTTTCTTCTTAAATTTCTACCCATGATCACACTAACTAATGGAGTTTTATGTGTGATAATGTTAATAGCAACAACTGCTGGCGTTTGTGTGGTGCTTTATGAATAGTTAAAAACAATTTCCTGTACATTACCTCACAGTATTGAAGATAACTCTACCATGTGGCAGACCTTTGAAAACAGCTTTCATGGCATCATATCCTCTTCTTCCCCTTATATCTTCTTTTCCATATTATCTCCTAATTCTTTTACCAATTTTTAACTTGATTTCAAACTTTTTTGTTTTTCTGGTTGCACTCAATTGGTCAATATGATGCCCCATTTTGAATGCAGCCCTCCAGATAATAGCACACCGCTAGCCATACACTACACATTCTGGGCAATTTTGGTTTTCGAAGGCTTCCCTAAGAGTTCTTGTTATGGAGTGTTCTATAGTAATGCCATATAAGCCTGTTTTCCTCCTGTTTTGTGCAAGTGATTTTTTTTAAATCTAATGATAGTAGTTTATGCTCATCCCTATGAACTTTTATCTTTTCAATTTGGATCTACCATTACATCCTGTCAAAATCTTTGGAAGCTTCATTGTATCGTCTCAAATTTACTTCATCTAGAATTTAATAAGCTGACTTGTATGTTTTCATCCCTTAACGAAGTTGACTTAAGCAGGACTGCAAATGGCATTCTTACAATATGCTGCATGACAATTTTCCCTAAGATAAGGAAGGCTCTCTTGGGACGATTGGTTTTTCAGCATTCACTGTAAAACGGTAGCTGGTTTTCCAACCAGCTACCATCCCATCTTACTATATAGTCTCATGAACTGAGCACTTGCATTTAGTCTGCAAAGAAAACTGAAACATATGGGTATGCAACTATAGATATTGATATTGAAATAGACATAAATTTATACAAGTCTTTAATGTTGCAATATTTGATTTTATTTTCTAGCTAGTAATCCAATTTAGTGGGAGTCAGTAGCAATTGAAGCATTTCTGTATTAAATAATCGTTATTTTTTTAAGAACATTCATTATATTATTAAATTATGCAATAATTCATATGCCTGAAATGTATAATACAGTATGTTACTATGATCAATGAGATGTTATGTTTAAGAAAAACCATGAAACAGTAATTTAGTTACCTGCAATATTACATCAATCTTAGTCACTAAGATGCTGTCTGCTTTTGATCAGAGATGAATATCAAAAGATTGTTTTTATTAGAAATTAGCCCCAGGTCTCACATCTGTCCAAAAAAAAGAAAAAAGTGAGCTGTTCTGCTACTTTTCTTTAGTACAACTGGACTGTTTTTGAAGAGACAGAAGAGAGTGTAAGATTAATATGGTTAGTTTGTAATTAGTCTTAGGGAGAGTAAAGATAATTAAATTTTCAAGTATTTTTAAATTGAGTTTGAGGATTACTGGTTTTTTTAAAACACCTGCCAATAGCTCCTAATTGAGTTAAAGATACTATTTGCTCTCCATTAAAAATTACCCCAGTTTAGACAGAATTAAATCTCCTTTTTTGTTGTTTACTTTGAGAAAAATTCTGGTTTGGTATAACTTTTTAAATGTATTGAGCATTTACAAGAATATGATAGAACCATTCTGGGTAAATCATTGTTATGAATTTATAATTAATTGAGAAGTGCAGGAAACATATGTCGGTTTCATTTGAAAAAAAATACCATCTTCCTTTCATGTATAGAAGACGATGTTAACTCACGTTTCGCACATTAGCTGTAGGAACTACGTTAATTAATTCTGATCACTCAACATTTATGACAAAAAGAATGCATTGGTAGTATACATTATAACACATATGTTCCATTTGCAAAAGTCATCAGGCTTCAAAGTTTCTTTTTATCTTTGTTTATATATATATATATAATTTATTGTCAAGTTAGCTAACATACAGTGTGTATACAGTGTGCTCTTGGTCTTGGGAGTAGATTCCCACGATTCATCACCTACATAAAACACTATGGGTTGGTCACATTCAAATTATGAGTATTACTGAGCTTTAATTATGATAGGCGTCTATGTTCTACTGATCTCCATCTGTTTGAAATGAGTGATCAAGACCCGTGGCAGAATCCCTCCGTTCAGTAAATCTCAAGAAAGTGAAAACAAAGGGAAAAGAATAGGTAAACGCAATGTAATATTTTCAGTTCTGCTAATTGATTTCAACATGCATTAAACTATCTTATGTCCTGAATTTATAAGGACTTGCTTACTTTAATAGCTTTACCATTATCTTTTTTATAATTGGGACTTTTTGCCAACAGTTAAAACTGCACCTGCACCTCGGTCTCCAGATGGCCGGGCAAGTCGTTCCCAAACTGACTCTGGCCCTGGTCCAGCTGTGGCAACCAGCAAAGAAAACCTGCCTGTGCTCAACACCAGAATAATCTGCCCAGGTAGTATAGATTCTGAAACATGGTATTTTTTTAAATATTTCTGTGAAAATGTATTAAGTATTCACTTCCATGAACTATTGAAATGTGGTCTGAAAGATAAATGTCCCTTTGAGAGAATGTTCTTGTCACTCTTATCAACCAGACTCTAGATCCTTAGACTTGTGTGTGTGTGTGTGTGTGTGTGTGTGTGTGTGTGTGTATGTATGTGTAAGAATTACCTTGGAAGTATTAAAATATATGTTTTGGGGCCCTGCCCTGAGAAATTTTATCTAGAATAGAGCTCAAGAATCTGCATTTATTAAGCACCTTGGGTAAATCTAATCCTATGTTCTACTACCTCTTAAGTATCTCCACAGCTTTCCTTTTAGTTGTAAGCCACAGGTCTCTCTGTAGTCATTTTTAGACTACTAATATCGCTTCGTTTTGGAACATCTAAGGCATCTCTGCCAGCTCTGATGAGATGAATTTACCTCGGGATTCAGTTAGTGCTAGTGAAAACCAAAGAACTTGTACAGCAGCGAAGGAGGAAAATAGAGATGTCTCAGATGTCTCCTTAAGTTCCAGTTGTTTGACCTAGTGAGAACTGTCAAGATTTATTCCAGGGTAGATTGGATCCCAAATTACACCCTTAAAGTCAGTCTCTCCTACATGCTCTTTTAAAAGGTGAATTGCAATTCAAAAATAATAATAGTTGGAGACTTTAGTATCCCACTCTCAGTAGTGAATAGAACAACTAGAGAGAGATCAACAAGGAAATAGAAGAACTGAAAGACACATAAAACAAGTAGACCTAACAAATGTCTACAATGCACTCCACATAACAGCCACAGACTGCACATTGTCTAGTGCATATGGAACATTCTCCAGGATAGACCATATATGAAGCCATAAAACAACTTTCAATAAATTTAGAAAGATTGAAATATTATACAAAGGATGATCTTTGGCCACAATGGAATGAAATTAGACATCCATAACAGATGGAAATGTTGGGAATGTGGCAATATGTGAGTTAAAGAAAAAAAAAACCATAAGAAAAATTTTGAAATCCTTTGATATGAATGAAAACAAAAGTACACCATACCAAAACTTACTTGATGTAGTTAAAGAAGTGTTTGGAGGGAAATTTATAGCTGTAAAGGCCTATATTAAAGAGGTAGAAAGATCTCAAAACCTAACTCTCCACCTTAATAAACTGGAAAAAGAAGAGCAAACATACTGAAAGCAATCACTAGGAAGGAAGGAAGAAATATTGGAGTGTAAATAAATGACAAAGAAAATACAAAACAATACAGAAAATCAATGAAACCAGAAGTTGGTTCTGCGAACAGTTTAACAAAATTGACAAGTCTTTATCTAGAGGGACCAAGGAAATAAAAGAAGATTCATATTACTGAAATCAGGAATAAAAGAGGAAAGATATGACTAACAACCTTACAGAAATAGAAAGGATTATAAATAAGGGAAAGCTATCAACATTACATGGCAATAAATTAGATAACTTCAATGAAACGGACAAACTCCTAGAAGCATGCAAACTACTAAAACTGTGTTGTAGACTCTGGGTCTGGAGTTCTTTCTTGTCTAGCAAGAAAGTGGGATGCAGAATTAAAAATGCGAGAGAGAAGCTGATGTCCAGGAGAAGACAAGAGCCCCAAGTAAGGGTCCTAGTTCTGTTTTTATTAGGATCAGAAGGCTTACAAACGTGGTGATGGGTGTGCACAAAGAGACAGTGAAATCCTGAACATTAACTCATGGGCGTGAGGGAAAGGGGGTTTTGAAGATATGCGGGGGTTAGGGATTTGGGTTAATACAAAACAAAATCCTGGTGTTAGGCAGAAGGTTGTTTATAGCAGACAAGAGGCACCACCTCTGTTTACCTAAACTGGTCTAGGGGGACAAGAAAGACAGAGCATGCTACCTCAGGGTCAACAAGGCACCTTTCTTTTGCTAATTAGCTAGTTGCCCTCTGGGCAACTTTGCCCTGCTTCAGTCGCTAGCCCTATTTACCTGTTCACCTAATTTGGTCCTTCCTTCCTGCGAAAGCAGCTTTCTGCTATTGTAAGTACTAAATTGGGGGTTGTTTCCACCCTGAATACCTAATCTTGTTTACCTCATATACATTTGTCCTATACTGGGGCCTTTGTCCCACCTTATCTATACTGAGGCCTGTGCCCAGGCCTTACCTATACTGGGGCTTTTGCCCCACCCTATCTATACTGGGGCCTTTGCTCCACCTTATCTAATCTTACTTACCTAATCTTGTTTACCCAAACTTGGGTGTGAACATCCTATGACTTTCTAATTCTTTATGCCTTGTTAACCCATTGGCAGAGGCTCAGAAAATTCCTAAGCTTATTCCCACAAAACCGATTCAAGAAGAGAAAATCTAACTAGACCTACAACAAAACTTCTTACAAAGAAAAGGCCAGGTCCAAATCACTTCACTAATGAACTCTGCCAAGTGTTTAAGGAATTAATATCAGCAGTTCACAAACTCTTCCAAAAACTAAACGAGGAAGGAACATTTTCCACCTCATTCTTTGAGGCCAGTGTTACCCTGGTACCAAACCAAAGATGTTCAAGTCACTAACCATCAGGGAAATGCAGATTAAAAACCATAATGAGCTGTCACGTCACACTACTCAGGATGGCTATTATCAAAAAACAAACAAACAAAAAAAATCAAAAGGCAACAAGTGTTGGGGAGGATGTGAGGTGCCTGGATGGCTCAGTTAAGTGTCCAGCTCTTGATCTCAGCTCAGGTAATGATCTCACAGCTTGTGGGATCAAGCCCCGTATTGGGCTCTGTGCTGACAGCTCAGAGCCTGGAGCCTGCTCCGGATTCTGTGTCTCCCTTTCTCTCTGCTCCTCCCCTGCTTGCTCTCTCTCTCTCTCTCTCTCTCAAAAATAAACATTAAAATTTTTTTTTTAAAAAACTAAAATTAGGACTACCATATGATCCAGCAATCCCACTCTGGGAATTTATCAAAAGAATTGAAATCAGAATTTTGAGGAGATATTAGCACTCCCATGTTTATTGTAGCACTATTCACTACATCCAAGACGTGAAAGCAACCTAAATGTCCACTGAGTGATGAATGGATAAAGAACACATGGTATATACATACAATGGAATATTGTTCAGCTTAAAAAAAAAAATCTGTAATCTGTCATAATGTGAATGGACCTGGAGGAAATTATGCTAAGTGAAATAATTCAGTCACAACATTGCAAGTACTACATGATTCACTTCCATGAAGTATCTAAAATAGTCAAAACCATAAAATCAAAGAGTGGAATGGTGGTTACCAACAACTAGAAGTAAGAGGAAATGGGGAGTTGCCAGTCAAGCTACATAAAATTTCAGTTAAGCAAGGTAAGTTCTCGAGATGTGGTGTCCAAAATTGTACCTAGAGTTAACAATACTGCCTAGAGTTAACAATACTGTACCTAGAGTTAACAATACTGCCTAAAACACTTAAAAATTTGTTAAGAAGGTAGGTCTCATAGTAAGTGTTCTTACCACAATAATATAAAGTAAAAAGTTAAGGACGCCTGTGTGGCTCGGTCGGTTAAGTGTCCAGCTGTTGCTTTCAGCTCAGGACACGATCTCACAGTTGTGAGATTGAGCCCTGCATCAGGCTCCATGCTGAGCTTAAGATTCTCTTTCCCTCTGCCCCTCCCTGTTTACACATGTGCTCACTCTCTCAAAAAAAAATAAATAAAAATTAGAAAAAAAGTTAAAAACAAAACAAAAAAAGAGCTATCCCTGAGTCCTGGGCTCACCTGACTGAGTCATTCTCCTTTTCTAATGGTTGGTTGGTAAGCCCTCATCTTTGGTCTACCTCTTTAATGATCTTCAAATAAATTCATTTTACATTTTGCTCAGCTTTTCAATTTTCCCTCAAAGTGAGGAGGGGTAGTTGGTCTGATGAACTGACAATATGCCATCATCAAAATGATACATTGATTTTTAGTTTTTGCAGATTCTGGGTTGTTGTGGCTTTCCATGAAACTTTCTCCTCTCATAAATCAAAAAGGATAAATGAAAAGGAAGAAAGAAAGAAGACAATCCATAGGATAAAGGAAAATATTTGTAAATAGTATATGTGATAAGGGACTAGTATTCAAAATATATAAAGAGCTCTTAAAATTCAACGGTAAAGACAAATACTTCAATTTAAAAATGGGCAAAGGATCTCTTGCAAAAAGATATTCAAGTGGCCAATAAACACATGGAAAGATGCTCATCTTCATTAGTCATCAGGGTAATGCAAATCAAAACCACAGTGAAATACCACTTCACTTTACTGGGATGGCTATGATCAAAAAAGGCAGATAATAACAAATATTGGCAAGGATGTGGAAAAATTGGAACTTTTATACTTTGTTGGTTAGCATATGAAATGGTGCAGCCATTTTGCAAAAACAGTTGGGCAGTTCCTCAAAGAATTAAACAGAGTTAACATATAACCCAAAAACCCACTACTAGGTATACACCCATGAGAAGTGAAAATACACGTCTACACAAAAACTTGTACGTTACTGTTTATAGCAACATTACTCATAATAGCCAAATAGAAGAAACAACCCAAATAATCATCAATTGATGAATGGAAAAACAAAATGTACAATATCCATACAGTGGACTATTAGTCATCCATTAAAAAGAACAAAGAACGGGGGTGCTGGCTGGCTCAGTCAGGGGAGTATGCAACTCTTCATCTCAGGGTTGTGAGTTTGAGCCCCGTGTTGGGTGTAGAGATTACTTAAAAATAAAATCTTTAAAAAAAAGAATGAAGCACTGATACATGCTGCAACATGAATACCTCTGAAAACATTATGCCTAGTGAAAGAAGCTTGACATAAAAAGCCACATACTATATGATTACATTTATATAAAATGCCCAGAGTAGTCAAGTCCCGAGAGAACATAGGTGAGTGGTTTCCAGGGTTTGAGGATGTGGGGAATTGGGGGCAAGGAAAATGACTACTAACAGGTACGGGGTGTTTTTTGTAGAGTAATAAAAAATGTTCTAAATGTGATGGTAGTGATCATTGCACAACTTTGTGTATATACTACAAACAGCCAAATTATGCACTTACTTAAAAGGTGAATTTCATGGTATGTGAATTATATCTCAGTGAAATATTAAAGTAGATAAACCCATAACATGTTTGATTCTGGAAAAAGACCTCCACGTCTAGAGGTTATATTTCTATTCAAACCTGAAACCATGAGATGACCTTTCTGGCTAAAGCTGTAAATATGCCTGACCTTAAAACATTTTAGAAAATATCATCCTTTTCTGTGGCTGGAGCCTGATTCTTCACCTGTCTAAAGTGCGTCTTTTCTTACCAAAATAGTGGCTTTGTCCATTTATTTACTTATGTAGACATAAAAGAAACTGGCATAACTAAGTCTGCTGTGGCAGATTCAAAACTATGAAAATAAATGACAGAATAAAATTCATTTTGATTATTTAATAACCAGCTAAACTTTGTAGCTGAAATAATGAATAATTTTCTTCTAAGAAGACCACACTGTTGAGGAAAGGAATATTGGCTTAAAAAAAGGACTTTTTTCCTAATTTCCTAGTGGTTCTCAATTCCAGGACATACTTTTCTTCACTATTCTTTCCTTTTTGTTTGTTTATTCCCTTAGGCCCTTGTTATTTTTCTTCTTTGCAGAGTTTAATGCTTCTAGCCTCAGTTTTGGGTTGGGTAGATCATAAAATTGATTAGCTTTGAATATCGTAACTACTTAGTAGAAAGCTAACTGCTTGTTGAAATAAATTTGAGGTTTTACATATGTAGAGGTAAGATAAATGCTTCACTTTTTTTGCGTTCAATACTGCTCTTAAATACCTGTGCTTAATATTTTCATACTTACCGTTGATACCAACACTGGGATTTCACTTAGTATATCTGTTAATACTTTTAATTGAATATTATTATCTATGCTTTGAGCGTATGGAAGTAGTAACACCGTGACATTCTTGCTAATTCAGCCTTTATTGCAAATTCCTTACAGATTTACCGCCTTATTTGCTATAACATAGGAGGTAATATTTACTTGTTGAAGTATAGAATCACTAGAATGGTAAATGAGAAACTGTCACAAAGAGACTCTTATTTGAGTCTTCATCAGCTGCATTTTTTATGACAACATATGGATCCTGGTTGTAATCACCAATGTTATAGTTTTTGGTTTTGAATAATGAGAAGATTAGACACTGAAAATCATGCTTTGGGGGCAAGGTATCTGAGGTGAAGCCTGAAAACAATGCACTGGCTCTTTCTTTATCTTTTTTCTTAACATGTGATCCTGTATGTATTTATTTTTCTGTCCAGGTTTAAGAGCAGGATTAGCTGCCTCAATTGCTGGGAGTTCTATTATCAACAAAATGTTACTGGCAAATATTGATCCTTTTGGTGCAACGCCATTTATTGACCCAGATCCAGATTCCGTGTAAGGAAATACTTTTGTAAATATCTCGTTTTGACTTTTCTTGTTTCTACTTTATACGAACGGTACAATTGTCAATGCGTTACAAGAAATATGCTTCCCCATATAAAAAGGGTCATCAGGGGCGCCTGGGTGGCTCAGTCGTTAAGTGTCCGACTTCGGCTCAGGTCATGATCTCGTGGTTCACGAGTTCGAGCCCCGCGTCGGGCTCTGTGCTGACAGCTCGGAGCCTGAAGCCTGTTTCAGATTCTGTGTCTCCCTCTCTCTCTCTGACCCTCCCCCCATTCATGCTCTGTCTCTCTCTGTCTCAAAAAATAAATAAACGCTAAAAAAAAAAAAGGGGGTCATCAGAAAATTTCAAAAGTTGATGATGATGAGTACATTGATGCATTTGAAACACAGTTGTTTTCAGGATCTGTTCTCAAGGTAGGTCCTGTCTAGCCCATTTCCCTATGGCAAAATGAAGCATACCTGTATTCACTTTTCCCTGGAATATTGTATTATTTATTTCAGGAAGCATCTGGCCCACATTGATCTCTTCCCTTCTTAAAAGTACAGGTGTTTTTTTGTTTGTTTTTTGTTTTGGGTTTTTTTTTTTTTTTTTGGCAGTTCAGTATGAACTTTTACTTCTGCATATAATCTTTCTCTTGTTACATCTCATTTCTCTAATGACACTCCTCAAAGACGTCACCATATTTTTTTAATTTAAATTCATGTTAGTTAACATATAGTTGGTCCATTGATAAGAGTACAGCGGATGAGACTTTCTAATGATCAAGAAAGGAGGATTGGCACCTGACTGCAAGACCCTCCCACTTATGTATGTAGTAAAGGGTTCACGTAGGAAGTAAAAGAACCAAGGTTTTATTACAAGTTTTAGAAAAGCGTTACTATGATTCTGTCTCTGCTTGGCCCCCTATCCCTTTTACCACATGTACCAAAAATTACACATATGTACTGGGGTTGTACACATGGCATATGAACAGGAAATAATTCCTGCTAAGTTTTACTCTCTTCTGTAAGGAATGGAAACTTAAATGGTTTTAAGTGCTGTTTTGTGTGCAAGTTGTAATTGTTATGAATCTGAAATTGACTCTTATGTACTTTTCCATATTATCACAGAGATGGATATTCAGAAAAATGTGTCATGAACAATTACTTTGGGATTGGATTAGACGCAAAAATTTCATTAGAATTTAATAATAAGAGAGAAGAACACCCTGAAAAATGCAGGTAATTTTGGGTAATAGTTATAATGTTATTACAGGAAGGCAATTTCACTTTAATTTCATTTATTACCTCTTTTGCTTGCTCTGCCTTTAAAGATGAATAAATAATAGCTATTGAAATGTCTGCCAATATTTATTTTCAGGAGCCGAACTAAAAACTTGATGTGGTATGGAGTCCTCGGAACCCGGGAGTTATTACAAAGGTCATATAAGAATTTAGAACAGAGAGTTCAACTTGAGGTAAGTTCATCTTGAAGTAAAGATATTTCATGTTATCTTACTTAGAAAAATAACTTCATTTGGGCAACTCAATTGGCTTCAATTCCTCTTTGAGTGTTTAAACACTCAGTGGAAGTGATTACCAACTTTATACTAAGGGAGGGCTAGATCCTGGATATGACCAATACACTTACCATTATCATTGGCGCCTGAAATCTGGATGCTACTGTGGAGTCTTGGTGCCCCGTGAGAAGGTGCAGCCATGAGAGTGCATTTATAGGAGAGCATTTGTAACAGATTCTCACAGATTTTCTCATTTAAGTTTATAAATCTTGACCCAATTCTATGATGGCCTAATGTTTCAGAAATCCCTGAAAAAAACATTTATAGTAAATAGACTCTTAATTCAAATGTATATTCGTTCCAATTATTTCTAACAATAGTAAACTAAAAAGAGATCTTGAGCATTTAAATTTTTCAGTAGTTTTTTACTAATTTAAATGGGAAATTAAGGACAGCAAAAGTTATTTAATCTCCTCCAATAAGAGGAGAAAGATGGTTGGAGACATGGCTCTGAAAAGTCTACTAACTTCTGTGACTTTTATTTTCTTTCACCCTTGGTCCAGGATTCATAGTTTATGCCAATATGCATGTCTTTCTTTCTTGTGTCTTTTTATAGCCAGATATTTTAAATTAAGGTATAGCCTACGTACAGAGAAGTATGTAGATTAAACAGAGCGTTATTATTTTAGGTGTTATCTTAATACTGGAATGAGCACTGGCTCATTCATTATCAACTAAATGTTTTAGTAAAGATAAACCCGTTATGCCTTCCACACTAGAACATAACCACATGATCAGCTAGTTTGATTTATCACCGCTTATAAAATTAAGATGGATGTGGGGTGCCTGGGTGGCTCAGTCGGTTAAGGGTCTGACTTCAACTCAGGTCATGATCTCGTGATTCCTGAGTTCGAGCGTGCCTGGCGTCGGGCTCTGTGCTGACAGCTCAGAGCCTGGAGCCCGCTTTGGATTCTGTGTCTCCCTGTCTCTGCCCCTCCCCTGCTCATGCTCTGTCTCCCTCTCTCAAAAATAAATAAACATTAAAAAATATATTTAAAAATTAAGATGGATGTTACTGGCATTTTTTCCATTTCCTTTAAGTTAGTGATATGATTTGAACAGCTGTTCTAAAGCACACAGAGCTACCTGTTCAATTTATTGGATTCAGAAAAAGTTCATTATTCTACTAAATACTTAATGCGTGTTTATTTTAAGAAATACACATTGAGCACCTGCTGTGTACCATGATTGGCCCTTTGGATAGAGTATAGACCTTTGAATGTGTTTTTATGAAAAAGAAAAGAAGGTGTAAAAAATACCTATAGGAGTACAATCAAGCATAAAATGTTCTCAGTTATTTCAAGTGGTTGAATATGGATTGGAATTGGATTTTCATTTGTTCTAAGGAGTGGAGATGATTTTGATTGGGTATTAAAAGGCAATGTTATAAAGTTATGTTAATTATCTTTTATTGCAGGAATTATTTAATGACAATATAGCCCCTATTTTAAGAATGACATCTGCAAGCTCTTCTTTTTTAAGGTGAAGGATTGAGAATTGACTTACATGTCATGTATAATTACTCACCAGCCATATGATATTTGTTTCCTATTTCAGTGGTAATTTAGTTTTCATTTTTGTGATTAATTAGAAGACACAGTAAGTATAAGATACTTCCTGACATGCATGGTTTTTCTCTCCCTGGCTTTGGTTTTGGCTACTGGAGAAACTCACCCGGAGTTTTGGCCAGCCACCGTTAGTGACAGAGTGGCAGCCCAGTAGCAGGAGTTCTGAGAGGGGCTAGACGGGGTGGCTAGGACCCAGACGCCCTCACTCAGCTTGCTTTCAAAAGGATGCTTATAATAAGCACAAAGATGACCCTAATACAAGTGAAAATGTAAGTGACTTGAAAAAAAAAGAAAAGTGCCGCCTGATCTGGGCAGAAAAGTTAATATTTTTAAGGTTGGTTTTCTGTAACAACTATAGTAATTTACACCTTAAATTTTTTTTAGTTAAAAAAATAAGATAAAGGTAATGTGTAGGAATATGTTTCTAGGAGAGCAAACATTACCAACACACTTCCCTCCATCATCCTTTGTCTTTGGCATTCTAGTGGCTTCCCAACTAGTGGTTTTGCTCTTTTTCTCTAACTTCTAAGCTCTTTACCTTACAGTGTGATGGGCAGTATATCCCTCTCCCCAGTCTGCAAGGAATAGCAGTGTTGAACATTCCCAGCTATGCCGGAGGCACCAACTTTTGGGGTGGAACTAAAGAAGATGATGTAAGTATTTCCTTGCGCCTTCTAGATTCCAGAGGCTGCCCGTATTCCTTGGTTCATGGCCCCTTCCAACGTCTCCAAAGCCAACAAAGGCGGGTTGAGTCTCACAGTGCATCATTCTGATCTCCCCTCCTGCCCTTCTCTTCCACTTTGAATGACTGTTGTGATTACATTGGGCCCACTGCATCATCCAGGGTAATCTCCCCTTCTCACGGTTCCCTCTGTAACCACATCTGCAAAGTCTCTTTGGCCACGTAAAGTAACATTCACTACTTCTGCAGATTTGAACATGGACATTTTTGGGGTAGAAAGGGAGACGTTATTCTGCCTGCCAAAATACCTTTCTGTATTTTTAACTCTACATCTATGTGGCTATTATTTTTATTTTTAGAAATGTTAACAGGGCTCATTTGGCCGTTAACATTTAGGTCTATGTTTTTCGTCCTTTTAGACTTTCCTGCCAAAGGAGAAAAAAACACAACTTAACAATGTAACGCATATAATAATGTAAATAATGTAACAACTATAAAATTTACATTAGCTGTGAACTTTTTGTCAGCCTGTAACTACTCTTCCACTCTTAAATATCTTAAAGGGAAGAAATCAAGGCGATAAAGGTAAATAAAGCTAATGACTCCTCCTAGGTAATCAGACAGTGTTCTGAGAGCTTCACATTCATTACTGACAATCACGATTTTTATCTAAATTTTACCAGTGAAGAAACTGACACAAAGTTCACACAGGAAGTAGCACAGACAGGATTTAAAACCACGCAGTCTCAATCTACTCCTGAAATAATTGTTGCACTATATGTTAACTAACTTGGATGTAAATTTAAAAAGTAAAATTTTAATTAATTAATTAATTAAAAAAATAAAACCACGCAGTCTGCTAACAAAAATGATAAGAAATCGGGGTACCTGGGTGGCTCAGTCAGTTAGGCCTCTGACTTCAGCTCAGGTCATGATCTCACGGTTTGTGAGCTCGAGCCCCATATCAGGCTCTGTGCTGACAGCTCAGAGCCTGGAGCCTGCTTGGCATTTTGTGTCTCCCTCTCTCTCTACCCCCTGCTCATGCTCTGTCTCTCAAAAATAAGTAAACATTGAAAAAAAATTTTTTTAATGACAAGAAATCATCAATGTTTGCAAATTCATGCCCTGATATTTTCAGTTTTAATTTAGATACTGCTTTATGCTGAATAATTTTTTTTTCCGAGGCATAATTGTTTATCATATAGTCAAAGAGAGAATAAAGGGGACAAAGTAAGACAGCCAGAATTTAAATTGTTTGATTAAATTGATTTTGTGGGAATGCATTTAACATCAAAGCAAAGTAAGCCTGCATCATTTTTATCCTCTGAGGTGTCTGTTACCATCTTCTCAAATGCCCTAAAAAGTTGTCATATTAATATATAAAGCACATTATACATATTGCTTGTAAACATTGAAGGATTTCCCTTAGAATATGCCAGGTAAACTGGGTATTTTAGGTTTCCTGAAATTACATGCATCATTTTGTCAAGACATCTGAGTTATGTGTGAACAGATATTCGATGCATTTTATGCCAAGATGGATTATTTAAAATTTTTTAATGTTTATTTTATTTTTGAGAGAGAGAGAGAAACCGAGCATGAGCAGGGGAGGGGCAGAGCAAGAGGGAGACCCAGAATCCGAAGCAGGCTCCAAGCTCTGAGCTGTCAGCACAGAGCCCTACACAGAGCTCGAAGTCACAAATGGGGAGATCATGACCTGAGCCAAAGTCAGATGCTCAACCAACTGAGCCACCCAGGTCCCCCCAAGATGGATTATTTAGAATAGAATAGTTCACTGGTTTAAAGAGTGCTTTATGAACGGCATGAACATTTTATCCATGTGGGTTTTAAATCTTTTGTATTAAGTTTGTTTACATTAAATCATCTACAGTGGGTTTTTTTTGGGGGGGTGGTCCTTGGACTATCATTTCCTATTAAAATTGACTTACTTTCCTGCTTACTATTTCTGTAGGTTTTACTATGTATATTGCAGACTTTACATTGCTGATGTGCCACTTCATCGAAACCTTAACCTCATCAGGGGAAATGTAATATAGGTTTTCTTTTCAGATATTTGCTGCACCATCATTTGATGACAAGATCCTGGAAGTCGTTGCAATATTTGATAGCATGCAAATGGCAGTTTCCAGGGTCATTAAACTGCAGCATCATCGAATAGCCCAGGTTTGTTTTCTCTGATCAGACCTGACCTCACTACTCGGGCCACTGGGGAAGCTATTCCAAATGACTCCTACGCTGTCTGTTCATCTATAAAATATGAACTTTCTTGTCGTGTCAGTTGTTACCGTGCCGTGGTAAGTGGAAAAATAGACATTCCGTTCCACGGAATGGACAAAAAGTCAAGCTTGAATGCCGATTGTCGGTTTCTCAGGATGATTTGTTCTCTAAAATGACTTGTTTTATTTCAGTGCCGTACAGTAAAAATCACTATATTTGGTGATGAGGGAGTCCCAGTGCAGGTAGATGGCGAAGCATGGGTTCAGCCTCCAGGGATTATCAAAATTGTGCACAAAAACAGAGCTCAGATGCTAACAAGGGACAGGGTATGTAAAAAAATATTCTTCTAGATTTTTATCAAGAGTTTTAAAAAATATTCAATTGTTATGAAAAATAGAAACCACGGAAAAATATTTAAATTATCTCTTAAATCTGACAAGTCATTGTAGTTTTAAATATGAACATTTAATTTTTTAAAAAAGTTAATAGACTATATTTTTATTGTTTCTTTTAGGTTTACAGAGAAATTGATCAGAAAATACTGAGAATTCTAATTCTGTTCCCATATACCTCCTTGCCTCACGGACATATAGTCCCTTATTATTAACATGTTGTATTAATGTGGTACATTTATTACAGTTGATGAGGCAATATTGATAATTATTAACTGAAGTTCATAGTTTACTCTTCATGCTGTATGTTTTATAGTTTTTGATAAATCTGTAATCACTTGTATCTACCATTATAGTATCCTACAGGATAGTTTCACTGTCCTAAAAATTCCCGGTCCTCCACCTATCATCCACCACTCCCTCCCTTACCTCAACCCTTGGCAACCATCTACCTTTTTACTGCCTCCACAGTTTTGCCTTTTCCAGAATACATGTTTTAATTAAGGTTACACCCATAACAGATAAGACTGCCAACACCCATCTTATCCATTATGCATGTAAAGATTGAAGCATAAATTGAAGCTGTCTTTTTAAAAACTTTCAGTGATACATTCATTGTCATTGATCACATTACGTATTCTGATAACACTGGAAAACTTTAAGATACCTTTTTTGTATCTTATGATTTCTTTAATGAGGCTTTAGATTAGGAAAACAGCAATAGTTTCAAAGTCATTCATGTAACATCTAAATACACACTTATTTGGGTCTCAGAGCTTCAAACTAACAATTCCTTGCAATATTGATTGTAAATAGGCTTTTGAAAGCACTCTAAAATCTTGGGAAGATAAACAGAAGTGTGATTCCGGTAAACCAGTTCTTCGAACCCATTTGTACATCCAGCATGCCGTTGACTTGGCAACAGAGGAGGTATCCCAGATGCAGCTATGCTCCCAGGCAGCAGAGGAGCTCATCACTAGGTATGGTGGGCCTGCCAGCTGTGGGCGGGGAGAACTCTAGCCTTGGCAAATGTGCTTTTTTACTTTTGATACATAATTTCAGTTGTTCGGGGGTATCTAGGAGAGATGCATTTACTCCCCTTCCGCATTTGCTGCCTCATTCATGCCTCCTTAAGGACTGCGCTCCTTCATTAGACCCCCGCCAACACGTACAGGTGCACACCCTGTGTTCTCTGTCGAACAGACCTTGGACTTCCTGAACCCCAGTGGGGAGCTTGCCTAATGGTACCTAACACACAATGCTCTTTCTGTTATTGTTTATTTCCCCAGTTTTACACAATCTTTACACTATACTACTTACTGATATGTTACCTTGTAATTATTAAATGGTTATGGAATGTAGAAAGAAATACAGACATTAATCCTGCTTGCAAGGAGGTTTGGGGGTGTGGGGGTGGGAAGAGTCCGAGAATCGGTTTCCAAAAGACATATCTGGAGATTGGGAGACAGCACAGAAATTAATTTTAGTAGACAAAAAAGGGAAAAGATTAAACAAACAAGCAAAAAACCAAGTTCCATGAATGTAGAACAGATATAAATCACTATGAGCAGGAGTAAACTTCAATGGAGGAAGGGGGGGTGGGCAACCATGGACAAGTTTCTTACCACCTAATCTTCACCTAAATCTTCTCTACCAAATGGTGATAATAAGAGCTAACTTTGCACGTCTTTGTGAAGGTTTAATGAGACCCACCGTGTCTTGTCGCATCATGTCTGGCCTATTTAGTGTTCTGGTAGTGGTAGCTATTATATTCTTCCCACACTTCATCTGGTCACTGATAAAAATCTTGAAAAAGAAAAGAAGGAAAGCAAAGCTCTTTAAATATTTGTTAGAAACCTAGAATGTACTAGAAGTTGGAGATATAAGAGAAAAGATATGCATTCCTCCCTATAGGTGGAGACCAACATTCAGAATTAGAATAAAGTATAACTACAAGATACTAAGTAGCTTCGAAGCAAGGTAAAGGAAAATGAATAGGCAGCTATATGCACAGAACTGCATTACTGTACCTCCCAGCTTCTTATTCACAGAGAGATTAATTTTAGGGTACTACAAACAACTTCTGTGGACTCCACGTTACAATGGGGTTGTTTTTGTTTCTTTTCCAGGTTGGTGAGGGATAAGTGACAAATAAAATCACTTATATACACAAGGTATACATGTGATAATTTGATATATGTATACATTGTAAAATAATTACCATAATCAAGCTAATTAACATATGATGGAAAACAATATGGTGGTTTTTCAAAAAATCAAAAATAGAGCTACAGCATTTTCTTGAGACCAAAATATACTTCCTATATTATCTCCCTTGAAACCAAATATACTTCCTATATTAACTTCCTGTCAACTAACCAAATAACCTTATCAAAAAAAGGGAAGTGAAGGTTGGCCAGACTTGGTCAACCTAGTTTGGTCAACCTAGTTTGGTTCCCCATATATTCACTAGTCTGTTTGTTTAATTTTGTAAAAGATGAAAATCAGGCTCACTCATCTATTTTCAAAACTTACTCATTTAATATTCAGCAAATAATTTTGAGTCTTTGCTACATGCCAACCTCCATATTAAGCCCTGGGGATGACAAAATGCCTGTGTTGTGGTCCCTCTTCTTAATTTGCTGGCAGGGTAGTAGGGAAAAGTGTGGCCAAAGGACTTACAAGACTCACAGTGGGGCGCTGTGGATGAACAGAGGAGGCCACAAAAGTAAGGGAGGGCTGCCTGGAAGAAGTGATCTCCCAGCCAAGTCTTGGGCGGAGAGTAAGAGAAGGAGCATTCTAAACATGGGAACAAGCCTGGGCAGAGGCCCAGAGGAGTGTGAGTGCATAGTATTTTTAGGAAATCTCAGGAAACCAGGGTGGCATGGTATATGTGATAGAGTGGGATACGTGGATGGAGAGGTGAAGAAGAGCCAAGTCTTTATCAGAATGTTTCTGGAAGCAATGTGGAGCGTTGTCTGCAAGACAGCAAAGCAGGGGCAGGGTGAACACTCTTGGAATGGTCCTGACAGGAAACAGCTGATTGAGGTAATAGACATGGGAAGAAGAGAGACTTAAGATAGATTAGGATCTAAACTTGCTAAATGGCCTGAATTATGAGACAGGGCGACTCTAAGGTTTCTACCAAATGGCTGGATGGATTATGGAGCCTTTCAAGGAACCATAGGATTCAGGAGGAAAAGGAGATTTGAGAGGGGAAAATGACAGGGTCTATGTTGGACTTACAGAATTTAAACTACACTGGAAATTTCTAGATTTAGTAGGCAGTTGAAGTATTCATCTGAAATCGATTTACCTTTTTTCCTTTGTTTGAAAGAATAACTTTTACCCACCTCTGTCCTTCTGATAAATGTCCCATTCTTCATCATTTCTCAAGATTATTGGTAGCAATACTGAGACGACATTTGCAAATTCCTTTGTGGCTTGGATATCAATTGTATCATCTTTAAGATTTAAACTCTTTTCCTTTACTTTTGGTTCAACCATACAGGACTAGTCTCTTCTCTTGTGTGTAGCTCGTTCTCCTTGAAGATGCCAGAAACAGGATTTGAATAGTTTGGCTTTCTTGCTTATCTGCAAACTTTCCATCATTTTCTAGCAATTGGTGGAACTTTTCCTCCTTTCTCTTCTTTGGCCTGAGTGCCTTCCAGGATCCTGTCTGTTCAGGACATTCTTGAAGGTTGAGATTCTAGAGGACTGTGGCACAACAGGCTTTGGAACTGATGGACATAGATTCAAATCCTAGCTCTATTACTTAATTAGCTTTGTATGCATACTGAATCTCTCCAAGCCTCAAGGTCTCCGTCTATAAAGTAGAGAAAATTCATCACAGCTACCTTTTAAGTTGTGAATATTAAATTAGATAATGTCTGTAAAGAACTTTAGCAATAGATGACAAATACAGCAATGTTCTTCCCTTAATCCATTCTATTTCTTTCTAGTCGAAGCTTCAATGAATAAAAGATTAAGTTTCTGCTCCCCACATTTGGGACCTGTGTCACTTTACAATGATACTTCAAAATGAAGTGTTCTTATATTTTGTTCTTCCAAATAGCACTTCAATTTGTTTATCTGTGATGCTCAGCCTAACTTTTCCTATTAAGATTTTTGGTTTAGGG